AACATTCATAGCACAATGTATTAGGAAAGAATTCTGCAGAATGATAACAATGTTCTGAGATAAACATGGAAATGTATTGGTACTGTGTGATACAGTACGTGCTATCTTGCTCAATTGAGCAGACAGAACAATGCAAACCTACTGTACAAAAAGAATCTTCAAGAGAATTCAGATGAATCTATTTTCTGTTCGTCATGCTAGCACTTGACTAGAAAAGTGATTGCATATTTATTAATGTTTGGTGTGAATATTAATTAGATTGCTTCTTACAAGTCATGTCAGACCTATTTATTTCAGGGGAGCTTCAATATATGAAACCTTCCCTGGATCCAACACTGTTTATGCAACAGACATTACTTAATTTTTATCTTATTCTCTTAAGTATAGCATACCATGAAACTTTAGAAGAAAAAAAAATATTTTAAAGCATTTAACACTTTTTCATTTTCTTTATTAAGAGAGGCCATTTATTACAAAACTCTGTGTTCTTTATAACTGCTATTAGTACCATGAGAAGGTACTCGTGATTAATAGAATCAATACTGTAATATGATTTTTCCCTTTCCCTTTTTAACTTATTCCTACGGGTGTAACGAACAAACAGCTGAGAATTAAAATTATGATACTGTGCTATACATGCTGAGCTGATCTTATTCATCTAACTTGTGTCATAGCAATACTTAAAACGGTCCATTCATCTACCTTTCATATCTATTCAAAGCAAAATTGCTAGAAAAGACCATACAGCTGAAAAAACAGAGCACTTGCTACAAAGACCAGGGAACACACTAACCTCATAATCTTCAAACATTATTGATGCCTTTCTAACCATATGAGAAAGAGCCAATGATGTAATATAGCCTTGTTCCATATTCCCCATATTGTATTTTTTTTCTTTAATTTGATGAGATTGTGTGCGGTCATGCTTAAACCCAGGAGATTTGACTGGTTTAATAACTTTTGAAATAAACCTGTTATCAGAACAGGTCCATTTATCTCTAGTCAAGGAGAAACTATGTTCCTTCAACATACTAAAGCTATAATTTCCCTATTGACTATACAGACATTTCCACTGACATTCCTCTTTTTTTAAAAAAAAAAGTATTCACAATCAGTGCATAGTATATATACTTGCTTTTCTAGTTTTTTAAACATGTTTTTTTTCCCTTTTTTCTCAACTGCCTAAAAATAAACTTCAGGTGAGACCTGAGATCATTCCAAAACTAGAAAATAATTATTGCTGGTAGCATTGTCGTGTCTATTCAGGAGCAAAACCTAATACAGGTCCAGATTGATTATCTAGGTTTCCTTGAACATTTTAATTGGAATGTAAATTGATTAATGAGAAGGGCTCAAGACCCTGAACATTTTAAAAGTATAATATAAAATGTTCCAGGGCAAAAGAGTAGGACCACAGGTTCAATAAACCCTCATTCTTTCAGTATCATAACTGATATATTCTGTAGATGTCCAGCATTATGAAGAGAGTTTGGCACATAACAAGGACTTCAAGTGTATATTGGAACAGTAAAATGCATGTGCATTGGGCGCCTATAAGCACCCAAATCACATATATTTATTGTCAGATTCAATTACCAATGGCTTTCTAAATGCAAATAAACATTGTTCAAAAAAGTAAGCACCATGCATGTACTTTTTTGGAGAACCAGCTTGTAATAATTGTTAAAGGCCCTGAAATAGGAACCAGATAGTTATGACTTCTAGGTATGCCTTAAGACAGGGGTAGGCAAATGTGGCCCTTATACAACCTGTGGACTTCAACTCTCAGGGAGTTCTGGGAGTTGAAGTCCACAGGTTGTAAAAGGGCCACATTTGCCCACCCCTGATTTACTTCATTCAATTGTGGTGCTGTCCAATCCCATCCAATTCTGGGTGCCTCACAAAGTAAAGAACAGCATGAATTAAGTACACAATAAAATTAATTAAAAAAAAAAAGAATTACAGAATAATTACAAGATGGCAGTCCAGACCACACACCAATCTTAGAGATTCTTTTTTCTTTAAATTTTTAAATTAATTTTACAATAACAACAACAATACAACGTACAAAACACAAACACACAATATGTGTTTTTTTTGATGTATCAGTTTCGTTCCTCTTACTTTCTACTTTCTACATTCCCCATTTTTCTTATCTTTATCGTCCCTTTATTTCTAGTTTTATTCATTTACAGTATTTTACACATTTGTCACACCATTTATTCACTTTTACTTTCCCTAATCTCAAGCCAGTGGTACCACTTAGTCCATACTTGATAGTATTCTGTATCTTCCTTTTCTTTTATTTCTTTCTTAGAGGTCCATTCATCCTGTCCCATAGCCTGAGAGAACAGCCAGGTTTTTAAGGTCTTTTGAAATCCCAAAAGTGCTTTTTTTCAAAAGGCAGCTGGACTTTGTTTTTCCTTGAAGACGTTTCGCTTCTCATCCAAGAAGCTTCTTCAGTTCTGTCTGAACGGTGGAGGATGGAAGGATTTATATTCCTTGCAGACATCTGGTTGTTATCCCTCTTTCTGAGAGTCATTGTGGCCACTTGGAGGTTTCTCTGTGCCCTCAGGGTCATCCGAATAGTGTAAATGGATGTGGAATCTTCTTGGAACTGCTGAAAGGACTGTGTTGTGAACAGGAGATAGACGGTTTGAAAGAGGGGTCAAAGAGGCCATCTACATTAAAATTGAACAGCCCACTCTCCACTGAGGGAGAGGGATACGACACCACCTATCTCCTGTTTACAACACAGTCCTTTCAGCAGTTCCAAGAAGGCTCCACATCCATTTGCACTATTTAGGTGCAAGATTTATTGCATGCTTAAGCTCTATAAGAATCTTGCCAACTAACAGTCAAGAGAAAGGAGCGGGAGATAAGAAAGGCATTCAAGGTGGGCTAGACTTGGATATCTTGCATGCACGCAGGAACTCATGATTTATGACATGTTTGGCCCCTCCCTTGGGCTCAATCTGGTCATCTCCTACAATCCGGTTGCCTTTTGGAAAAGCACCTTTGGGGCAACCTTGACTTGGATGATTGAGAATCTCCATAGATACTTCTTACAGGATATTTTTATTCATTTCCCAGTCTAGCCTAGAGATCTGTGATGCCCTGTTAAGTATTCCATCCTTCTGTTAATCAGGTCTAACACTGCTAAATTCGACTAGCTGTCGTGGCTTGATTGAAGATGTTTGAAGTGATACCTTTATTCCAATTCAGCAACGTTCAGAAGTGTTGGATAACTGTACAGGTAGTCCTCAACTTACAACAGTTCATTTAGTCACCGTTCAGAGTTACAGCAGCACTGAAAAAAGTGACTTATGACCATTTTTCGTAGTTACCACCTTTGTAGCATCCCCATGATCATGTGATCAAAATTCAGATGCTTGGCAACTGAAGACTTCATACTTATGACCATTGCTGGGTCCCACGGTTACGTGATCCTCTTTTTGCGACCTTCTGACAAGCAAAGTCAATGGGGAAAACCAGATTCACTTAACCGGGTTGCTAACATATCAATTGCAGTGATTCGCTTAACAACTGTGGTAAGAAAGGTTGTAAGATGGGGGGGGGGGAACTCACTTAATGAATTTTTCACTTAACAACAGAAATTTTGGGCTCGATTATGGTCGTAAGTCGAGGACTACCTGTACTGTACTTTCATCACCACAGCCAGCACATAGAGGTGGTGGTAATTGTGGGTGATGGGAGCTGTGATCCAACAGCTGGGGAAAGAAGGCAGACAGAAACTTGCAGGAGCGGGTTTCAAAACCCGTCGCTACCGGTTCGCTCGTGGGCGGGGGCGTGCAATGCTTCTGCGCACGCATAGAAGCATCCAGGTGGGCGCGCAGAGCCTCCCACCACCGCTGCTACCAATTCGCCCGATCCGGTGCAAACCGGAAGCAACCCACCACTGAACTGCTGTACTTGAAGCCAGAGCACCACATAGTCCAGTGGAAGGCAAAGTTAGAATCAGGGCAACGTCCTTGGGTGGATATCCCAAAGGCAACGAGACTTTCTTGGGATTTTTTTTCTCTTTGAAAACATTTCACTTCTCATCCAAGAAGCTTCTTCTGTTCTCACTGCTTTTTGGATAAGAACAGGGGTGGGTTTCACTTACCTTTGATACCAGTTCGCTCACGCACCCACCATGCCTGTGTATGCGCAGAAGCTTCTGCACAAATGCGCAGATCATATTTGATGACATCCGGGCAGGTGGGTGGAGCCTTATGCCACTGCTGCTACCGGTTTGCCTGAACCGGGGCAAACCGGTAGCAACCCACCACTGGATAAGAAATGAAACATTTTCAAAGAAAAAAAAACAAAAACCAAGAAACTATCGGTAGTTGCCTTTTGGAAAAGCAGTTTTGGGACAACCATGACCTGAGTATCTCCATAGACACTTGGGTGGATACATTCTCTCATCCCCTTGCTACAAGAAAGAATCAATTTCTTTAGGCTACCCATCATATTTCTGGCCGGGGAGCGTGGAGGAATATCAGTGGTGGGTTTCAAATTTTTTTACTACCGGTTCTGTGGGTGTGGCTTAGTGGGCATGACATGGCTTGGTGGGCGTGGCATGGGCGTGGCAGGGGAAGGATACTGTCAAATCTCCATTCCCACCCTATTCCAGGGGAAGGATACTGTCAAATCTCCATTCCCACCATACTCCAGGGGAAGGTTACTGCAAAATCCCCATTTCCTCCCAATCAGCTGGGACTCGGGAGGCAGAGAATAGATGGGGGCGGGGCCAGTCAGAAGTGGTATTTACCAGTTCTCCAGACTACTCAAAATTTCTGCTATCGGTTCTCCAGAACCGATAGAAATATTTGGGAACTGACCTCTGATATTTGAGTCAAAGGAGCAACTTGGGTTTCTCAACTTCACCTACCCCAGATGTTGTCTCCTCCTTTGGCTTTGATTTTTGTGAGAGGTTTGGTGAGAAGATCGCCCGTCCCTTCCTTAACTCTTTGGATGTTTGTTGCTCTTTTTAGATCTGGAGGACTTGAAGGGTGCCCCCTTTGGAACTTATAGCAGTGCCTCTCTTCTGAGTAGCTTCCCAAGCTGTGACTGGTCTGATAAAGAAGATGTCTATCAGAGCAGAAGGTCTACCCCCTTCTCCCTTCCTGCAGGAAACGAAGCCTCCTTAGCTACCTCCGTCCTCCAAAAGAAGGAGACCTTTTTCGGCAGCTCCGAAAATATCACTGTGACCACCGTTTCCAAGGTGACCACCTTTGCGAACGAGGATGCTCTCCAAGACGTGAAGTTCTCATCGTTTGCAAACTTCCAAAGTTCCAGTCCTCATTCCATGGACCAAAGCGAGGACGAAGTTGAAGACTTTGGAGAGTTTGCTCAACCACCGGACAATGGAAGTGAGAGACCACCCACAGGCGGATCTCAAGAGGCTGACTCCGCCCCCGTCTCGTCAGAAGCTGGGAAAGAAGTTTTCGATGACTTCGGAGAGTTTCAGGGCGAAAAACCAAAGATCAGCAAATTTGACTTTTTATTGGCAACTTCTCAAGGGAAAATGAAATCCAGCGAAGAAATGATCAAAAGCGAGCTGGCAACCTTTGACCTCTCTGTTCAAGGTGAGAATTTGCGCCGATATTGTGGTTGCAATTAACAGGCAGTCCTCAATTTACAACAAAAGAAATCCCTAAAATGGTGCAGGTCTTCAAAAAGATGGAATAGGAATAGGAATAGAATAAAATAGAATAAAATAGATTAGAATCGGAATAGAATCGGAATAGAATAAGAAGAATAGAATAGAATAGAATAGAATAGAATAGAATAGAATAGAATAGAATAGAATAGTTGGAAGGGACCTTGGAGGTCTTCTAGTCCAACCCCCTGCCCAGGCAGGAAACCCTACACCACTTCAGGCAAATGGTTATCCAACATCTTCTTAAAAACTTCCAGTGTTGGAAGTGATTTCACCACTGGGTCATAAGTCACTTTTTTCACTGCCGTTGTAACTTCAAACAGTCACTAAATGAACTGTTGCAAGTCGAGGACTACCTGTATAGTTAGTTTGTGGTTGGTTCTAAGTCTCACCTAGTGCTGGGAATTGAAGAAATCCAGAATATCTCTGGAATTCTTTATTATTCGATTTCTAAGGCTGCTCACTTTCCAGCAATTCTGGGCAGACAGGCACAGATCAGAAGTTAAAGTGAGAGGTTGCAATAAAACGATGGAGCTTCATAGAATCATAGGGCTGGAAGGGTCCTTGGAGGTTTTCTAGTCCAACCCCGTGCTGAAGGCCGGAGGCCATTTTCTCGTGAATGCAATTGAGCACAACCTTTCTGTTGCCGAGGGAGACAGTTGTTAAGTGAGTTTTGCCCCATTTTATGACCTTCCCTGACAGTTGTTAAGTGAATCACTTCAATTGTTCAGTTAATAACACTGCTGTTAAGTGAATCTGGCTTCCCCATTGACTTTGCTTGTCAGAATGTGGCAAATGGTGCTCCAGAACACTGCAGCCATGATAAATATGAAACAATTGACAAGCATCCAAATTCTGATCATAAGTCATAAGTGTGAATAATGCTGTAAGTCACTTTTTTTTTCATTGCCATTGTAACTTCGAACAGTTACTAAACGAACGCTTGTAAGTTGAGCACAGTCTGTATTCATGGACCTGACCACACCTTTAATACCTATATTTCCTCCCAGGTTCTCACAAAAGGACTCTAAGTTTGGGCTCTTCACCGCTGCCACCTGTGGAGCAGCCCTTTAGAGATCGATCAAACACCCTGAGCGAGAAGCCTTCCCTGCCAGTCATCCGAGACAAGTACAAAGATCTTACTGGGGAAGTAGAGGTAAGGGGAGAACCAACCGAAGGGTTGTGACTTGGGGCACCTGTGCTGAAAACAATTGCTTGATTAAGCAGCAGGTGCCAAACTGCAAATGCAGGTAAGGTAAAAATCCTTGTGGACACAATTGAGAGCTGTTGAAAGATAGATAGATAGAGAGATAGATAGAGAGATAGAGAGATGAGATAGAGAGAGAGATATGAGAGAGAGAGAGAGAGATATGAGATAGAGAGAGATGAGAGATGATAGATAGATAGATAGATAGATAGATAGATAGATAGATAGATAGATGAGAGAGATGATAGTTATAGATGAGAGAGATGATGGATGGATGGATGGATGGATGGATAGATAGATAGATAGATAGATAGATAGATAGATAGATATGAGATAGATAGATAGATAGATAGATATAGATGAGAGATAGAGATAGATAGATAGATAGATATAGATGAGAGATGAGAGATAGATAGATAGATATAGATGAGAGAGATGATAGACAGATAGATATAGATGAGATGATAGATAGATAGATATGAGAGAGATGATAGATAGATATAGATGAAAGAGATGATAGATAGATAGATAGATAGATAGATAGATAGATAGATAGATAGATATGAGAGATAGATAGATAGATAGATAGATAGATAGAGATGAGAGAGAAGATAGATAGATAGATAGATAGATAGATAGATAGATAGATAGATACAGATGAGATAGAAAGAAAAAGAAAGAAAGAAAGAAAGAAAAAAGAAAGAAAGAAAGGAAGGATTCTTTATTGGCCAAGTGTGATTGGACACACAAGGAATTTGTCTTTGGTGCATATGCTCTCAGTGTACATAAAAAGATGAGATACATTCATCAAGAATCATAAGGTACATCACTTAATGATAGTCATAGGGTACAAATAAGCAATCAAACATTCTAAGAAACAATATAAATTGTAAGGATACAAGCAACAAAGTTACAGTCATACAGTCATAAGTGTGGGTGATAGGAATGATGAGAAGATTAATAGTAATAGTAATGCGGATTTAGTGAATAGTTTGATAGTGTTGAGTGAATTATTTGTTTAGCAGAGTGATGGCGTTCGGGAAAAAACTGTCCTTGTGTCTAGTTGTTCTGGTGTGCAGTGCTCTATAGCGTCGTTTCGAGGGTAGGAGTTGAAACAATTTATGTCCAGGATGCGAGGGGTCTGTAAATAGAGGCAGAGTTGTAGCTGCCTTGTTTCCCTGATACGCTCAAACTTTCATAATGATTCCTTCGCTTATTATTATTATTATTATTATTATTATTATTATTATTATTATTATTATTTATTGAATTTCTATACCGCCCTACTCCCGAAGGACTCAGGGCGGTGTACAGCCATGAAATAAAACACATAGATATACAAAATTTAAAATCAAATAAAATGAATTAAATAAATTTGGCTGAATTAATACCCATAATTTAAAATACCCATAATTTTAAAATACATTAAAAATTTAAAATTTACACTTAAAAGGGAGAAGCTTTAGGCGAGGCCCGCTTGATGAAATAAAAGCGTCTTCAACTCGCGGCGGAAGGTGCGCAGATCCGGGATCCTCCGTATCTCTGGGGGGAGCTCATTCCAGATCGTCGGTGCCCCCACAGAGAAGGCTCTCCCCCTAGGGGCCGACAGCCGACATTGTTTGGCCGACGGCACCTGGAGGAGCCCTTCTCTGTGGGAGTGTACTGGTCGGTGGGAGGCTGTTGGTGGTAGTAGGCGGTCCCGTAAATAACCAGGTCCTAAGCTTACCGCAGTATGTTTCTCAGCTTCAGTGACTTTAAGATCTGTGGACTTCAATTCCCAGAATTCCCCAGTCAGATTCTGGCTGGGGAATTCTGGGAGTTGAAGTCCATACATATTTAAAACTTCCTGAGTTTCAGAAACACTGACTTACAAACATATCTGTATGCTGCCCAATTCATTCCAGATTTTAGTAGGAGTACAAGGAACAACATGAAATACAAATGACAAATAATTCAGAGCATCCCATCTCATAATCCAAACCCACAGTCTTACTTCCCAAACTGTTGTGGTATAGTTGTTGTTGTTAGTTGCGAAGTCGTGTCCGACCCATCGCGACCCCATGGACAAAATTCCTCCAGGCCTTCCTATCCTCTACCATCCTCTGGAGTTCATTTAATCTCATGCCAACTGCTTCAGTGACTCCATCCAGCCACTCGTTCTCTGTCATCTCCTTTTTCTTTTGTCCTCAATCTTTCCCAGCATTAGGCTCTTCTCCAGAGAGTCCTTTCTTCTCATTCGGTGGCCAAAGTATTTGAGTTTCATCTTCAGGATCTGACCTTCTAAAGAGCAGTCAGGGTTGATCTCTTCTAGGACCGACCGGTTTGATGGCCTTGCAGTCCGAGGGACTCGCAGGAGTCTTCTCCAGCACCATAGTCCAAAGGCCTCAATTCTTTGGTGCTCAGCCTTTCCTTTGGTCCAACTTTCACAGCCATACATTGCACCTGGTAAAACCATAGCCTTGACTGTATGCACTTTTGTGGTATAGATGAAGGAGAACTTGAAAAGTTTATGATCTTCCAATATCTGAATTTGGCTATCCCATGCAGAAAAAAAATTCACTCATAATCACATGTTGGTTTTTTTGCAGAAATTGTTTCTTTTACTTTCTCCCACTAGGAAAGTGAGAGATATGCCTATGAATGGCAGAGATGCTTGGAGAGCGCGCTGCAGGTAAGTAGGTGACTACCATCTACCTGAATAACTTCCTTTCCTTGTATGTAGGTGTTACTTGGTGATTTGAAAGCATTCACATATATGAATATTGTCACATATATTGTCGCCACAATATAAAAAAAGATTTTGAGACTCTGAAAAGAGTGAAGAGAAGAGCAGCAAAGATGATTAGGGGACTGGAGGCTAAAACATATAAAGAATGGTTGCTGGAATTGGATATGTCTAGTTTAATGAAAAGAAGGACTAGGGGAGACATTTTTGCAGTGTTCCAATATCTCAGGGGCTGCCACAAAGAAGAGGGAGTCAAGCTATTCTCCAAAGCCCCTGAGGGCAGGACAAGAAGCAACGGGTAGAAACTAATCAAGGAGAGAAGCAACCTAGAACTAAGGAGAAATTTCCTGACAGTTAGAACAATTAACCAGTAGAACGACTTTCCACCAGAAGTTGTGAATGCTCCAACACTGGAGGTTTTAAAGAAGAAGAGATTGGACAGCTATTTGTCTGAAAATCGTATAGGACCGTGATGGCGAACCTATGGCACGGGTGATTAGTGGGCACGCTAGCTCAGCTCTGGGGTGCATGCGCGCACCGGCCAGCTGATTTTCGGGCCTTCTGGGCCCACCAGAAGTAGGGAAACACGCTGTCCTTTCAAGGTAGGTAAAATGAGGACCCGGTTTTTGGGGGCAATAAACTGACTTTGTATAAAAAAGAACACCGCTTAGGAGGGGCCAAAAGCCCTACTAAGCAGGTATATACAAAAGTATGAAGGCTATTGCTTAAAAGCATTGTAAGCCACCCTGAATCTCTGGAGAAGGGCGGCATATAAATCAAGCTAATAAAATAAATAAATAAAATAAATAAATTTCCCGACTCCCGGTGGGACAGGAAGTGATGTTTTTTGCTGTCCCCAGCCTCCAGAGACTCCTAGAGAGGCTCCTAGAGACTCCTAGAGGGCCTCGGTGGCTGGGGACAGCAAAAAATGTCACTTCCTGTCCCACCGGGAGTCGGGAAATGGGCCGTTTCAGGCCTTTGGAGGGCCTCCGAGAGAGTGAGAAAGGCTGTTTTCGCCCTTCCCAGATAAATAGAGAGGATCTGGAACCAGGTAAGAAAGAAAAACGGGCCTACCAGGCCATCATGTGCCAGGAGCGGGGGGTGGGGTAGGGTGTTGCGCGTGGGCACGTGCGCATGTGACCCTCCCCCCCCCTCCTGGCACGCAATGGCAAAAAGGGTTAGCCATCACTGGTATAAGATCTCCTGCTTGGCAGGGGGTTGAACTAGAAAAACAGAGTTGGTCCTTTCCAACTCTGTTATTCTGTTTCAGATATATCTATATTACAAATGCTAATAACCAGTGGGAAGCCCAATACAACACATTTTTGGAAACCAGTTACATATAGTGCCTCCTGTTGGTCAATAACAGTTATAACATCTGTAACAATTGTATAAATCCCTTAAATGGGGAGATCTTAAGGCAGGGGTCCCCAACCCCCACTTCGTGGACCGGCATTGGTCCGCGGCATGCCAGAAACTGGGCCGCGCAAACAAGCAAAGCCCCATCCATGGAATGCAGGCAGCACACAAATCCATGCCCTTTCCGGTCCACGGAAAAACCTCTCTCCATGGAACCAGTCCCTGGTGCCCAGAAGGTTGGCGGCCTCTATCGTAAGGCATAAAGACAGGGGCATAAGAGTAGTATAGGTAGCCCTTGATTTATGGATGATCGCTTAGCAACCATTCAAAGTTACCTCTTCAGGGTACTTATGACCTAGTTCTGAAGTTCGGCAATTTACAGCCATTTGCATTTATAGCCATTTGCCTGGTCCCACGCTCATATGACCACTTTTTAGGACATCTTTGCCAAAAATGGGCATTTACCGTATTTTTCGGAGTATAAGACGCACCGGAGTATAAAACACATCTTAGTTTTTGGGGAGGAAAATAGGGGGGAGGGAAATCTGCCTATCAGGTATTCATCTGGCTAGCGTCCTTAGTCTGGTCAGCTTCAGCACATTAGTTTGTTGGACAGCATTACTTGGTCTGTCGTGTGGATGTTTGGGTGGTTTAGGGGTGGGGAATTGGTGGTGGGCGGGGGGGGATGTTTGGGGATTTTTATGGGTGTTAAATGAATTTCGTTGTATGGGTATACTGTGTATACACGTACAATGACAATAAAGTTGTTATGGAGAGTCACCTGAACAGTTCTGCGACTGTTATAAAGTTGGGGAAAAGTAGAATAATATACGCTATCTTATGTAAAATAAGCCGTGTAGGATAAAAATTGGACAGAATTCAGCAGCCGAATTAGTGGTGGGTTGCTACCGGTTCTCCTGGTTCTTGCAAACTGGTAGTGGAAATTTTGAGTAGTTCGGAGAACTGGTAAATACCACCTCTGCCTGGCCCTGCCCCCAATCTATTCGCTGCTCCCGAGTCCTAGCTGATTGGCTAGAAGGAAAAAATCAGGGCTCACTTGACAAAGAAGAGAAGAAAAAAATACAAGACACCGTCGCTTTCAATTAAGAAGCCAAGAAGCCTCCCAACTGATCGGCTAGAACTGATCCACTCCTTGTAAACTGCTCAGTGGTGGTAGATTGGCAACTGAGGCCAAGCTGCCTGAAAGCGGTTTCTGATGCTCTCAGCAAAAACTGTTTAAACTTTTGTGCGGTGGTTCAAAGAGCCACCCTACAGCTGATCAGCGGTAAAAGGCAGTGTGGTGGTAGACCAGTGTGCTCCAAAAACAAATGGGTAGACCGGTACGGTTCTACAAGCAGTTAAAAGCCTGGTAGACCAGTACGTCTGCTTAAATCCTAAAGAATTGTTTGTCACATGACCATCAAGCCATGCCCACAAAATAAGCCACGCCCACAGAACCAGTAGTAAAAAATTTTAGACCCCACCCCTGAGCTGAAGGTGTAACTTTGCCACACCTGTACTAAAATGAACCTCTCCATTTAATAGGTCATCAAGAAAGCGAACGACATCCTGAACGGAATCAGCAGTTCATCTGTATGTACTGAAGTCATCCAGTCTGTGCAGGGCATGGAATATTTATTAGGTATAATTTTATTTGATTTCATATCATATCTCAGCAATACAATTTCAGGTAGTCCTCGACTCATGACCAGTCGCTTAAGAACGGTTTGGAGTTGACTTCCGGTGGCTCCGCAGACGTTCGAAGACGGTCTCCATAGACCGCCAGCCACCCGATCTGTAAAAAACCGCCCTGACAGCGCTGAACAGCTGTCTGGCGGTTTGAAAAAACTCTCCTTCGGGCAAAGAAGGAGAGGAGAGTCGGAGGGGGTGGGTAGAGCTCCCCGATTGTCACTGGATTAATTCCAGGGACTCGGAGGGCGAGAGCTCCCCAGTTCACCCCTCCCTTTGCTCCGGATCGCTGGTGCCTCTGATTTACAGAGCAAGACGTCTGCGTCCAATTCTGCCGGCAAACAGTGAGTTCTAATGATTTCTTAAGGCAGACAGAGCGGAAGCAAGAGTGCAAGCCTCTTTAAATAATAAACTGAGCTTAACCCCGTGAATACATTGTTGCAAACGGAGCTCTCTTGAGCTGGAGGCTGGAGAGGAAGCCTTTGTTAAGGGCGGAAGGGAAAGTGAAAGTTAAAAGGAAATTGCTTGTTAAGAACCCTTTGCCTGAAGAATAAACTGCTGGGGATTGATTACAGTTGGAAGAGAGGACTGTTTATTTTGGAAAAACTTTGAAACACACTTTGTAAGATTGCTTATAAGACTTTCTGGCTGCAAAAAGGAAAAATTCTTTTTAAAATAAAAATGGCTGCTAAACAACTAAAGCCACCAACTTCTAAAGGGGGAGGAGGCTCTCCTGTAGTGACTCCAAAACAACAACTTCCGGCTGATGCACAGTCACAAGACCTTAAAGAATTTATAATGAGTGCCCTGAACAATCAGGCAGAAATGATGAAAGGATTTTCAGAGGAGTTAAAGAAACTTACAAACGTGGTGAAAGAAAAACATGATGAAATAAGAGATGACATTGTTTTTGCAGTTTCAGGACTGGCTACTCACATGTTAAAGATTGAGGAGAGAGTACGGGAGATTGATGATGCTAACTTAGATCTTGAAGCTAAAGTAGGAGAGATTATGACACAGACAGAGAAAGTGGATGACGAGATGGTCATGTTACAGTACAGATCAATGGAATTTGCCCTGAGGCTGAGAGGGTTGAAAGAGAAGAGTGGTGAAAATTTAAAAGATGTTTGTTCCAACGCCTTAGCAGAACTGATCTTAGAAAGGCCAGAAGATTTGGCATTCCAAATGGACAAAATTTACAGGGTTAATTCCTGGCTGGCAAAACAAAAGCAACTACCAAGGGATGTGGTGATTTATTTTACAACAAGGAGATTTAGAAATGACATTTTGCAAGCCTCTTACAGAAATAAGATTAAAGTGGAGGGACAAGAATTGGTGGTTTTGAAAGAGCTTCCTCCTAAAATGTTAAGAGACAGAAAGCAGTTTGGTTTTTTGGTGAACGAATTAAGAAATCAACAGCTCCAGTACAGATGGGACGTCCCATTTGGGATAATAGTGACATATGCTGGGCAAAGGCATCGTTTAAACACAGTTGGAAAGGCAAAAGACTTTTATGCTAATATTTTAAAGGCTGGAAGGCCACCCTCATCAGGGGGTGCTGGAAAGCAACTGGAAGTTACGCAGCAAGAGAAAGGTGGAGCACAACTACAAACCTATGCTCAAGCACTAGCTGGAGGAGCTAACTTGGAAGATCCATTACTGAGTGGGGGTCAACCACCAACCCTTGAGGCACTAACGAAGATACAACTGCCAGAAGATCAACGAATTACAAGAGCTACTTACAAACAACATTTGGCACAACAACCTCAAGATCCAACTCAACAAGTCCAAAAAACACAAGCAGTGGGAGGAGCTAGGCCGAAATCTAAGATGGCGGAGGAGGTTCAGCTGATGCTCTCAAAGCTTGGAATGCCCAGAGATGGCAAATAAATTTTTATCCTGGAATGTCAATGGTTTAAATTCTCCACAAAAAAGAAAGAAAATATTTCATTACTTGAAGCAATTTCAGAATGATGTTATTTGTTTGCAAGAAACCCATATTAAATCTTCAGATCAAAAGTATTTGATAAATTCGAAATTAGGTATACATTTTGTGGCTTCAGCACCAGAAAAGAAAAATGGCCTAGTTATATATGTTAAAAGAGGCTTAGTGGCTAATTTAATTGAGGCTGATACTCAAGGTAGATATATTGCAATTGAATTAATAACACAGAATGGGAAGATGCTAGTAGTTGGAGTATATGCACCTAATCAACAACAAGAAAAATTTTACAAACTTTTACATACCAAAATTTTACAATGGGATTACAGATCTTTACTTTTAATGGGTGATTGGAATGGGGTATTAAATACCCAGAAGGATAAAAAAAGTCCTTCCAAGACCACCATGCGTGCCAAGTTGCCTAAATCTTTTTTTGATATTTTGGAGGATATCGAACTCAGAGATATATGGAGAGAAAGGAATGAGTTGGAGAGTGATTTTACTTTTTTTTCAGATAGGCATCAATCTTTCTCTAGGATTGATTTTATATTAACTACAAATGATCTTTTTTCTAGGGTGAAGAGTACGAAGATATGTCCAAGAACATTAACTGATCATAGTCCGGTTTGGGTGGAACTAGAGCAGGAAAGAGGGGAAAGGAGGTCTTGGAGGCTAAACGAGAACTTATTTAGATATGAAGATAATCTCTTTGAGCTCAAAAAACAATTGAAAGAATTTTTTAATAATAATATGAATAAAGGAACCTCGATGGAGATGGTATGGGATGCGTGTAAGGCATATATGAGGGGAACATTAATTTTTTTGAATAATAAATATAGATTAAAACAACAAAATAGACGAAAAGAGATAGAGGAGGAAATTAAAAAGAAAGAACAACTGCTTATAAATAACCCGGGAGATAAAAAGGCAAAAGATATGATTAATATTTTAAGAGAGCAATTTAATATGTTAATGGCTGGGCAAGTAGCAACTAGCATACAATATGCCAGACATAATACATTTTGTAATGCTAATAAACCTGGGAGATGGTTGGCTTATACGATGAGGAAAAAACAGAAATCACGTGTCATAGATAAGATAGAATTTAGAGGTAAAGAGATTTATCAACAGAATTTAATAAAAAAGGCTTTTTTGGAGTTTTATACAAAGTTATATGCTAAAGACTTAATTCAAGATGGTGATATTGATAGATATTTAAAGATGGAGATTCCTGAATTAACGTTGGAGCAGAGAGAGAGATTGAATCAGCCAATAACTTCTGAGGAAATAGTTGAGGCAATCAAACAATTAAAAATAGGTAAAGCTCCGGGAACAGATGGATTAACAGCTGTTTTTTATAAACATCTACAATCTGAAATGTTAGAACCACTTAAAATTTTATTTAATAAAATACAACTAGGAGGAGGAGTACCACCTTCTTGGAAAACAGCCTTTGTTTCACTAATCCCAAAGGAGGATCATAATTCCATTAAACCTGAGAATTTTAGGCCAATCTCACTCTTGAATACTGATTATAAGATTTTTGCTAAAATATTAGCTAATAGATTAATGCCAGTTATGCAACAAATAATTCACAATGATCAATCAGGGTTTATAAAAGGGAGACAAATGAGATATAATGTTAGACAAATCGTAGATTTACTGGAATACTTGGAAAAAAACAATCAAGTCCCTGCAGCGTTTATATTTTTGGATGCAGAGAAGGCATTTGATCGTTTGAACTGGCAATTTTTGTTTAAAATAATAGAGAAAATGCACTTTGGGGAATATTTTATACAATCAATTAGAGCGATATATCAGCAGCAAACAGCACAAATCATAGTTAATGGAGGTTTAACAGAGGCTTTTAAAATTGAGAAAGGAACAAGGCAGGGGTGTCCTCTGTCTCCATTATTATTTATTTTGACTTTGGAGATATTATTGAATAAGATACGTGACTCAGAAAAAGTGAAGGGTATTGTAATTAGACAACAAGACTATAGATTAAGAGCTTTCGCAGATGACCTGGTTATTACTTTATCCCAACCTATAGAGTCGGCTCCACATATATTGAATTTAATCAATCAATATGGGAAAGTATCAGGATTTAAAGTTAATCCATATAAGACAAAGATGATAGTTAAAAATATGACTATACTGGAAAGAGATAAATTAGTAAGACTGACAGACTTTGAAATAGTTAAAAAGGTTAAATATTTAGGGGTATATATAGCAGCTTCAAATGCAAAATTATATAAAAACAACTATGAGGTACTTTGGCAGAAGGTACAGAAGGATATGGAAAATTGGAAAAAACTACAGTTGTTTTTATTGGGAAGAATTGCAGCAATTAAAATGAATGTTTTACCTAGATTCTTATTTTTATTTCAAATGATACCTGTGCTTAAGAAAGACGAAAATTTAAAAGTATGGCAGAAAGGTGTTAATACTTTTATTTGGGCTGGGAAAAAACCCAGAATAAAAATGAAAATTATACAAGATACACGTGAAAGAGGGGGTCTTAAAATGCCTAATTTAAGATTGTATTATGAAGCAGCGGTGTTATCACATATTAGTGATTGGTTTAATCTAACTGAGGGTAGAGTTCTGAATGTAGAAGGTTATGATTTGTTATATGGATGGCATGCTTATTTGTTATATGATAAAAAAGTGGATAAAGTATTCAAGGTTCATATATTAAGAAATGCTTTGTTAAGGATTTGGAAAAAATATCAGTATAAGTTAAATTACAAGATACCTGTATGGGCAAATCCTAGACATGCAATAGAAAATATAAGTATAGAACAAAAACAGGAGGTGATTACTTATAAAGAGCTTCTTACTATGGAAAGGGGGGTAATGTACTTGAAATCTCTAGATACGTTGAGAGAAGAAGGTATAATTTATACATGGTTCCAGTATGGTCAGCTTCAAGCTAGATGGAAGGAAGATCAAAAAACTGGCTTTGTGCAAAATGAGGAGAATTTGGTAAAACAAATTAGAGATCAAAAACAAATGCATATTAAAAGGTTGTATAATGTTTTATTAGAAATAGATTCCGAGACGGAATTGGTCAAAGACTGTATGATTAAATGGGCACAAAACTTTCAGGAACCAATAATGATGGAGACTTGGGAAAAAATTTGGATTAGAAATGTGAAATTTACACAAGCACAAAATTTAAGAGAAAACTTTTACAAAATGTTTTATAGATGGCATTTAGATCCCAAAAAGTTATCATGTATGTATCCTAATGTGCAAGCTAAATGTTGGAGATGTGACTGTGATGACGCAACTTATTATCATATATGGTGGACTTGTAGAAAAATCAAAGCATTTTGGATAAAGATTTGGTGGGTGATGCAGAATATTCTTAAAAAGAAACTGAAATTTACTCCACAGTTGTTTTTATTGGGTATAACCACAGATTGTACAGTTGTAGAGACTAAATTGATTTTGAACTTGATAACAGCAGCAAGACTGTTGGTTGCACAACATTGGAAGAAGGATTTTTTGCCTACTATTGATGATTGGATATTGAAAGTAACTAATTTAGCTGAAATGGCTAAAATTTCAGCATTTTTGAAGGATCACACACAAGAAAGATATATACAGGACTGGAGAAGATGGATTGATTATATACAAAATAAGTATCAGACCAAAAAATATCAAATAGCTTACGAATGATGTTTTTTTTTTTCTTATTATTTGTACAAGTGCTATATAAGTGATATTAGAAATATTATGTTTAAGAAATAGGATTTCATATATGGGGGGTTAAGGGAATTTTTCTTTTAGGGGTGTTAGCATAATTGGTTATGCAATTTAGCTTACTGTTAAAGCTTAATAGAAATACCTTGTGTTCTGCTCTGGGAAGTCGGGGAAGGGGAGGGGGGGTGGGGGTTGTGGGGAAATTGTATTTGTTGTAAAACTCTTTTAATAATAAAAAATTGAAAAAAAATAAAAATAAAAAAAAAAAAAAAAGAACGGTTTGGAGTTGCAACTGCCAAACACACATCTGCCATACCCACGTGCATTTTGGGGCACTTGGCAACTGGCTCACCTTTATGTCCGTTTGCAACATCCCACGGTTATGCGACCGCAATTTGTGACTTTTTTTGCCGGCATTTACTTCCAGTTTCTAGCAATAACACTTAGACCAGGGGTGTCAAACTCAAGGCCTGTGGGCTGGATGCGTCCCGCAGGGCGCTTAAATCCAGCGGGGCCAGCCTGGAAATATGAAAGGACTGGCCCATGGTGCCTCTGGTGGCTAAAACGGGCCACAAGCAGCTCCCCCCCGCCTCGTTTTCATCTTCCATGGCCTCCTGCAGCACTCTGCCGCCCGAAAACAGGCCAAAAAATGGCCCATTTTTGGCCAGCAGAGTGCTGCAGGAGGCCATGGAGGATGAAAACGAGGCACAGGGGAATCTCCATTGACAATGGGTTGATTGGCTTCTTTCTCTTCCGTATGATAGAGATGAAGTCCTAGAGTAGCCCTCCCTGCAAAGATAGTGCTTCTCTTGCCTATTCATCTCTGTGGCTCTTTTACACCGCCATCACCTTGGCCACCTAGGTTTTAAAAGAGGCAGGAAGGAGGCCGAGTGCTGTCTCTCGCACCCCCTGGCCACGCCCACCATGGCCACGCCCACCCAGCCTGTCATTAGGGCAGAGAACAGGTTGTTAAATTATTTGAGCCCCACCACTGCCCGTTTGACCTCTTGGAGTGTCTCTTGCTCTTTTTTTCAAATTCTTCCCAGGGGTTGTTGAAGTTTATCGAGTCACCAAGCGAGTGGAGCTGGGCATCAAAGCCACCGCTGTCTGCAGTGAGAAACTCCAACTGCTCCTGAAGGATATCGATAAAGTGTGGAATAACTTGATCGGATTCATGTCCCTTGCAGCGTTAACGGTAAGGTGCTTTTGAACAATTGCTAGAGGAAAATAGGTGGGGCCAGAAGAACGGTTGAATTGGATTATATCTGCATTATCATTTCATTAAGCCATTATGATCACCGTCTGCGTGTAGGTGGCAGCATATATCTTTCTGCGGCTAATTCCAGATCAACTAAGTAGGAAAGGTCTTGGATAACGCTTGGACGGGACATTTCATCTAATTATCTAAGCCAGTCTTTCTCAACCTTAGCAACTTTTCTCACTCCAAGAGAAGGTTACTGCAAAATCCCCATTTCCTCCTGATCAGCTGGGACTTGGCTGGCAGAGAATAGATGGTGGCGGGGCCAGTCAGAATTTTTACTACCGGTTCTCCGAACTACTCAAAATTTCCACTACCAGTTCTCCAGAACTGGTCAGAACCTGCTGAAACCCACCTCTGAACCGAGTCTAAGAAATACTGGGCCGGAGCATTAGGCTTCTGGTTTGAAACATCTATTAGTCCAATCTTTCAATTTTGATGTTCCCTAGTGGAAAAGTTTTTTTTCAAGTCAGAATCGCATATGTCCTTTTTTTTAATGGACTGATGTGGGAGGACAGGGTACCTATTATTCGTAAAAGCTAAATAAGAAAGGACATCATCGATTTTGTGTCCCTATATGTCTATTGACGGCTGATTTGTCAGAGTGCCAGGCTTCTAGAAATTTCCTGGCATTTTTGGACCTGGCTTGGTCTTCAAAGCCCTTCAAACCAAAAGACCCAGCAACCCCAGAAGAGAAAACAGGAGACTTCTACAACAGGGGTCTCTAACCTTGGCAACTTTACGACTTGTGGACTTCAACTCCCAGAATTCCTCAGCCAGCGCCTGCTGGCTGAGGAATTCTGGGAGTTGAAGTCCACAAGTCGTAAAGTTGCCAAGGTTGGAGACCCCTGTTCTACAACATACAATGTAAGAACTGCAACAACCTCTATGAAGGACAAACAGGCTAGCAGAACGCATCCATAAACACCAACATTTGTAAAATTTAGCTCTCACTTAATGATGGAAATTCCAGCCCTAATTGTGGTCGTAAGTCAAGGACTACCTGTATCACCTCATGAAGGAAGGAAGTCCAAAGGAAGAACATCTGCTTTATATGCAGGTCCAGGGATGGGCTTCTGAGGGTTTGGGAGAACCTCTAGCTAAGATTCTGTACAGTTCGGAGAATCCCCAAATCCCACTCCTGGCTGGCCCCACCCACCCCATCCCTCCCAGGAGTCCCCACACAGCCTGTTTTGGATGCAGGTGAGTGCAGGGTGAGTGCAGAGGCTCAGGGAGGGCGAAAAACGGGCCTACCGGAAGTTCGGGCCAGACCTCCAGAGGGCCTCCGGAGCCTGGGGAGGCCGTTTTCACCCTCCTGGAGGCTCGAGGAAAGCCTCCAGAGCCCAGGAAGGACAAAAACATCCCCCCCCCACTGCCGTGGTGCAGGAGGCCGACTAGGCCATGCCCACCATGGCCATGCCTACCCAGCAACCAGGCAGAGAACCCCTTGCTAAAATTTTTGAAGCCCACTCCTGTGCAGGTCTCTCTAAGACTAAACTCGGCAGTTCAAGGTCAAAAGAGCAAGTTATGAGCAAGGCCTCTTCCTACTTGAACTTATTTATATTTATTTATCTCCCACCTTTATGATTTTTATAAATAACTCAAGGTGGCAGACATATCCACCACACCTTCCTCTTCCTATTTTCCTTACAACAACAAACCCTGTGAGGTGAATTGGGTTGAGGGCAGTGGTGAAATCCAAATTTTTTTACTGCCGGTTCTGTGGGTGTGGCTTGGTGGGCGTGGCAGGGGAAGGATACTGCAAAATCTCCATTTCCACCCCAGTCCAGGGGAAGGATACTGCAAAATCTCCATTCCCTCCCCACCCCTGGGAGAAGGATATAGCAAAATCTCCATTCCCATCCCACTTTGGGGCCAGCCAGAGGTAGTATTTGCTGGTTCTCCGAACTACTCAAAATTTCCGCTACCAGTTCTCCAGAATCTGTCAGAACCTGCTGGATTTCACCCCTGGTTGTAGGTGAGTGATTGATCCAAAATCACCCAATTTGGCTTTTATGATTAAGGTAGGACTAGAATTTCTGGTTTTTAGCCTGGCGCCTTAATCACTAAATCTAGCCGGCTCTCACAGTTCCTGCATAAGGTGCTTCCAGGCAGAAGAGGCTGTACTAGAATAAAAGTTTGATTGGCTTGTTTCTTTGCTCCCCTGAGAAATGTTAAAATTTTCCTCTTTTCCCTCTGCAGCCTGATGAAAACTCATTGGATTTCTCCTCCTGTATGCTTCGCCCAGGAATTAAAAATGCTCAGGAACTGGCTTGTGGGGTCTGCCTCTTAAATGTAAACTCAAGGAGCAAGGCAAGTAGAGCGGCCATTTTCATCTCTTCTTCTCCTCACTCTGCAATCTCTCTTTACAATTTTGCTGTCCGGGTTTTATTTTTCCCCTCTTTGTTTACTTATACTCATTTTATAAGGCAGGGGACTCCAAACTTGGTAACTTTTAAGAATTCTGGGAGTTGTGGACTTCAACTCCCAGAATTCCTCAGCCAGCATGTCTGACTAAGGAATTCTGGGAGTTGAAGTCCATAAATCTTAAAGTGGCCAAGAGATTCCTGTCATAAGAGATTGAACAGTGTATGGTCATGCACTGCATTCATACAACTAGCTTATAAATTTAAATAAATCAAAACAAATTACACTGGTGGTAGAATTAGCCAGTTTTGAAGGTTTGCACAATATACCGCAAACTAAATTAACGAAATGGCCAGGCTAAACCACCCAAAACATAAGCAAGTATTCCACTAACCCAGAGGAGCAGATTATGTGAATTTTGTAGCCACTAGAGTTGTAACCAGCCAGTTGTGTAAAGTCAGCCAGAGAATGCTAGCATTGGAAGAGAGACCCTTGAAGCCATCAAGCCTAATAAGAATAATACGACCCTATCAACCCTTTCTTATGACCCTTTCTTACTGTTAGGAATTTTTTCCTGACATTCAACCAGAATTTGCCTTTCTGTACCTTGGATCCATTATTCCTTGTCCTTTATTCTGGAAGAACAGATTGCAGGCTTTTCGCAATCACACTCAAACTTAGATACCGCTTCAGAGTGCTTTACAGCCGTTTCTAAGCGATTTAGAGAGTCCGCATATTGCCCCCAACAATCTGTGTCCTCATTTTACCCACCTCGGAAGGATGGAAGGCTGAGTCAACCTTGAGCCTGGTGAGATTTGAACTGCCAAATTGCAGGCAGCTGGCAGTCAGCAGAAGTAGCCTGCAGTACTGCACTCTAACCACAGCACCACCGTGGGTTTTTTTTCCATTTTTCCAGATGATCCTTTTGCAAGCCCACTACCTCGGCCGTCATTGCTCAAAACGAAACATATCTATTTCCCAGGGATTTAGAAAGCTTTCTGTGCCCAAACGGCTGATCCAGGAAGATCTGTATACAAACCAAAATATTCATGGTTTGAATGTTTGGTTTTTGTTACAGGCCAAAATGTGAATTTGGAGCAGAAGTGGTTTGTAGGGAGGCAAAAGGGGGGATAAAAATCCATGGCTGGCAGAAGAGTGAGGGTAGAGAAGGGAAGAGGCAGTAGGAAGATTGTTGTTTTTACTTCATGTTAAGTATTTATTTTAACTGATTCTTCCATTTTAATCATTGCTTTTATTGTATATGGTCCAAAATTACCTTGCATGAAATGAATGGCCCTGTCAACTTGATAAATAAAATACCATTGATTGATTGATTCATTCATTCATTCAAATGAGGGCCACTCATTTCATGAATATTCGAATGAATGAATATAGAAGGGAAAGACAGGCCAGTGAGAAATACCACACTGAAAGCTTGATTTGGTAATTCTTGATGACCTGCAGCAGAGGTGGTATTCAGCCGGTTCAGACCGGTTCAAGCGAACCGGTAACTCCCAACAATCAGCTGGCCCCTCCCACCCACACCCACCCTATCCTGTCCTTTATTTACTTCTTTCTGGCTCAGCTGATTTGCGCGGCTCAGCTCATTTCTGCGCCTCCGCTGTTCTACTTACTGGGGCTGCCTTAGAAGGTAAGCAGCTGAGTTTCAAATTGCTGTAGATTGAATGCTGCGCGCAAGCGCATTAGGCACACGAGCACTCATCGAACAGGTAGTTAAACCGGTCACATCCCACCACTGACCAGCAGTGGAGAATATTTGTAGCTCAGCGTTGAAATGAGGGGTCCTTGATGCTCTTTGAGCTTTGTACTCAACCAGGTTCAGGTAGCACCAAGGACCTCTCAATTCCTGATGAGACCATCACAGTGAGGAGAGGATATGGTAGACCAGGATGGTGGCAAGATCAAGGCAGCGGACAGGCTGGTGAGAATTAATGGGATATCAGCAGCGGGAAAGAAAGAAGGGAAAGCAAAGCAAAGGCAGAGCAAGAAGCAATGGATGGAAACTAATCAATGGGAAAAGCAACCTAGAACTAAGGAGAAACTTCCTGACAATTGATCAGTGGAACAACTTGCCTCCAGAAGTTGTGAGGTAAAAACACTGGAGGTTTTTAAGAAGAAATTGAACAACCGTTCCTGCTTGAACAGGGAGTTGGACTAGAAGACCTCCAAGGACCCTTCCATTCTCTGCTAGGAGAATGTCCGTGATGGCCAGTCTGGAGCCCAGGCTCTGCCATGGAAAGGGGACCTACATATCAACCTTGCCCCAGCCTCGTATTAAAAAAAAAATCATGTCAGAAACTTCACAGATTTCGTTGAAACAAAACCAGAAAATCCCAAGTATGGCTTCTGCCAAACCATGACAGATCCGAAAGAGTTGGCAGAAATTTGGAATATTATTTCTTTTTGGGTTCAAACCAAAATACATTCCTGTTTCATGTACATCCCTCTTCACATTTTCTGTTCACGAGGTTGAAGTTTCAATCGGGTGAAATCCTACCGGTTCAGACCAGTTCGGGCGAACCGCTAGGGATTATGGACATCAGTTCGGCGAACCAGTAGTAATTATTCCTCCTTGGGTATATTCTATTATACCCAAATAGAATATTCCACAAATAGAATATTCCAAATATTCTATTTGTGTTTTCTATTATAGTAGTTAATCTACTGCAGTCAGATTAAGCATTCCCTCCATCTTTTCTTTCAAGTCATTATTGAACATTTTGTAAAGTAGCAGATCCAGGATTGAACCTCGTAGCCCAATCCTTAAATCACTTCTAATTTCACAAGGAACAATTAAAAATTCTTTTGGACCATGATTTTCTTTTCTTTCTTTTTTTTTGAAAAAAGTTTTTTATTTTATTTCTTATATTGTAAATGTACATTCTCTTATCCATAATTAATCCCACATATACATATATTTTCTAAAGAAAGACAAATTATTTTTCATTATATTTGGGGTTGCTCTTCTACCCTTTCTTCTCCCTTATTTTACAACAATCGTTCTCCTCCTCCTTCTCTCTTTCCCTTCCCTGCCTTCTTCTATCCTTTTCTACTTTCTTCTTTCCTCCTCTCCTTCATCTTCTCTACTTCCCCTTCCTTTCCCCCCCTTCTCCCTTCTTTCCCCTCTTTCTAACTTTCTGGACCATGATTTTCAAGGCAGCTATGGAATCACTTAATACAGTGGTCCCTAATAATCTTTCTGGATCCACAGACGGGCAGCAACTATGGGGTTGGACAGGGATCAGGGGTGGGATTCTACCGGTTCAGACCGGTTCGGGTGAACCGGTAGCTCCAACAATCAGCTAGGAGCAAACCAGTTCGCTCTGACGATCAGGTCGGCCTGCCCCTGCGCTTCACTAACCTTTATCTTCTCAGCTGATTGGCGCACTCTGCCGTGCCTCAGCTGTGTTACTCCCAAGTGGTAACACAGAAAGTTACTATTTGTAAAACTCTGCATGCGAAGTGCATGATCACCGAACCGGTTGTTAAACCGGCAGCATCCCACCACTGGCGCAGATGGTTTTGCACACACACCTAGATCCCACACATGTACAAATGAAGCTTCATGAACTCGCCCCCCGCTTCCGTGCCCCGGTTCCCAACAGGCAGTCCACAGCCCAAGGGGTTGGGGAACCCTGACTTAACAGCCTTGCCTTCTAACCCATATACTTAAGTATCTTGCTAATGCGAATGTTTTAAGGTTCTTTGTCAAATGAATTGCTAAGTCAAGGTATATTATGTTCACAGCTTTCCCACCATCGTATTTTAGGATGTTATCCAGGAGTGGGTTCTACTTACCTTTACCACCGGTTCGCACCTTGTTTCTGCGCATGCGCAGATCGCTGATGATGACATCCAGGGTGGTGGGCGGGGCCTCCCACTGATTTTACTACTGGTTCTTGCAAACCGGTCAGAACCGGGGGCAACCCACCACTGATGTTATCTGACTAAACCATGAAATGAGATTACTCTGACAAGCCTTGTCAAATTTGTCCTTTGAGACATCAGTCATTTCTTTCAAACTAGCCAAGTTACAGCAAACCTTTCACTGGTTAGATGATCTTAGAAGTGTTGTAGAATGGGAAGGATTTATTTATTTATTTACAGAAATTCCACATAGAGACGACTTTCTCAGAAAATTTCCAGTGTTGGAAGGCAGAGGGTTGGACTAGAAGACCTCCAAGGTCCCTTCCAGTTATTCTATTCTATTCTATTCTATTCTATTCTATTCTATTCTATTCTATTCTATTCTATTCTATTCTATTCTATTCTATTCTATTCTATTCCATTCCATTCCATTCCATTCCATATTTTCTATTCTATTCTATTCTATTCTATTCTATTCTATTCTATTCTATTCTATTCTATTCTATTCTATTCTATTCTATTCTATTCTAAATGGAGGCTGTGCGATTTCCTCAGTGATTGTAGGATAAAGCTGACATCCAGGGAGATTAGGATAGACTTAGCGTATCCGCTTAGCATGGCAGGATGAAAGGAGGCATAGGTTGGCAATCTCCAAATCTTGAACCATTGGTGGGATGAAGGGTCACGGCATGGAGCAAAGAACCCAGCTCCTGCGTTTTGGGCTATGGCGTTGCTGACCTTTCTTTTGGTTTCGACATTGTTTTCAGAAAGAAGAAATGCCCCTGGAAGAACACCCTAGAGAAGTACGAATTCACAAACCTTGTCTGGTTTTTTTTCCTCCCCTCACCACTATGTTGGCATAGCTTTTGGGCCATTGTTCTCCAACCACAATCTCTGTGACACTACACCCCCCCCCATTTTTTCCCCCCGCTAACCTTTTGATTTTAATCGACTAACACCGCACTACCCAAGTCGAAGGACCTCCTTCCTCTTGGTCTTTGTCCGCATGCTGGTTGCTTTGTGAGTCGCTTGCTTTGTGCTGGTGTCCCTCGTGTGGTGACTGTTGAGTTGTCAGTTGTCCTGTAGTCTGTATTATTGGTTCTTCTGGGTCTATTCTAAAGAATTTCTGAACTCCGTGGTGGCTCCTTACAAGCCAGAGAAGGGTAAATAGAACTTTCCGACTCTTTTTTTGTTTTTTTTTTTAGGATCTCAGTCAGGGGTCCTCAAACTTGGCAGCTTTAAGACTTGTGGACTTATACTCCCAGAATTCTCCAGCTATGCATAGCTGGAGAATTCTGGGAGTTGAAGTCCACAAGTCTTAAAGCTGCCAAGTTTGAGGAACCCTGATTTAGATTCTCAGGACCTTGTTCTTGCACTGTTGCCCTTTATGGGTAGTCCTCGTCTTACGACTGGTCACTCAGCAACCGTTTGAAGTTACGGTAGATTTACCGTTGGTCTATAGGAAGTCCTGGACTTGCAGCCATTCATTTAGCAACCGTTCAAAGTTACGACGATGCTGAAATAAAGTGACCTACGACCATTTTTCACTCTGACGACCATTCCTGTGGTCACGTGATCCAACTTCAGACATTTGCACACACGTATGGCACGTATTGAAAGGGACGCAGTGGCTCAGTGGCTAAGACGCTGAGCTTGCTGATCGAAAGGTCGGCAGTTCAGCGGTTCGAATCCCTAGTGCCGCGTAACAGGATGAGCTCCTGTTGGTTGTCACAGCTTCTGCCAACCTAGCAGTTCGAAAGCACGTAAAAAATGCAAGTAGAAAAATAGGGACCACCTTTGGTGGGAAGGGAACAGCGTTCCGTGCGCCTTTGGCGTTTAGTCATGCCGGCCACATGACCACAGAGACGTCTTTAGCTAGCGCTGGCTCTTCGGCTTTGAAACAGAGATGAGCACCATCCCCTAGAGTCGGGAACGACTAGCACATATGTGCGAGGGGAACCTTTACCTTTATTATGGCATGTATTAATGAAACTCTTAAAGCTGCCAAGTTTGAGGACCCCTGATTTAGATTCTCAGTACCTTGTTCTTGCACTGTTGCCCTTTATGGGCACTGTCCTGGGGTCATGCGATCCCCTTTTGCAACCCTCTTGCAAGTAAAGTCTGTGGGGAAGACAGCTTCACTTAACAACCGTGTTACTAACTTAACACCTGCACCCGATTCACTTAAGAACTGTGGCAAGCAAGGTCGTAAAATGGGGCAAAACTCACTTAAAGACTGCTTCCCTCGCTTAGCCGTGGAAATGTTGATTGTAAGTCGAGGACTACCTGTCCCTAGAAGCTAGATTCAAAGTCCCAGTACCTGAACATGCTTATTCACCCGACCCTGAGGCATTCCACCAGTTTTTCTGCTCTTGTTCCATTTTGGCAGAGGATAGATAACCAGGCAATCAATAATAACAATATCCTGCTCTTGTCAGGATTATGAAAGTAGGCCTTGCATGGTGGACTAGTCAGCAAGGCTAAAATTGTGTGTGGAAAACTATAGAAATGGAAAGACTTTTGCCTGACACCAAGAAAAAATTGCAGGGCAGCGATGAGAGCAGAGGTATCAAACTCAAGGCCTGTGGGCCAAATCCGGCCCATGTGGTGCTTAGATCTGGCCCGGGGGCCATCCTGGGAACAGCGAAGGACCGGCCTGCAGCGCCTCTGCCAGCGAAAACGGAGCTCGGGAGGGCCACGTGGCAGCCGGAAACAGAGCTTAGGAGCCCATTTTCACTGGCACGGCTCTGGGGCCCCCACAGGCGCCCCCAACACGAGTGACATCGAGCTGGCCATGCCCACCCTGGCCCCCCAGGTCAAACACAACCCTGATGCGGCCCTCAATGAAATCGAGTTTGACCCCACCCCCCCGGTTTAGAGTCAGCGGGAAGAAATTCCTGTCTGGTAGCTTATTTGACCTCATTCCACCCTCCCAGGACACTGCCACCGCCTGTAAATCCATGTGGGTTGCCAAGCACCCGGATTTGGATCACATGATTGTGGAGAGGCTGCCACAGTCGTTCACCGCAAGAACTGGGTTGTAAGTCACCTTTTTCAGTGCCGTTGTAACTTTCGAACGGTTGATAAATCGTCGTCAATCGAGGACAACCTGCCTTTAATACAGCATCTCTAGATTCATCTTGGATTACGGGCCACTGCAATTTGGAACCCAATTAGACCAACCTTTTCCAAACCCTTGGCCACTTAGAAGACGTGTGGCCTACAACTCCCATCATTCTCACCAATGGCTACCCTAGCTGTGGAATTCTGGGATTTGAAGTTTACATATCTGGAAGTGGCCATGATTAGACCCCTTTCTCAAAAGCGCCTGATAGGAAGTTTGGAAAGCACATTTGGTGCCCCAAAGCAGTCAACCCTCCCTTCCTTCGAGGTCAAAGATAACAAACACACCACAAGGTGTTTCTCACGTCATGTTCTTGCTTCCCTTTCTCTCTAGGCCTTCAACTCCGCGACGGACAGCTTCAAGCTTGCTTACGGAGGGCATCAATACCACGCCAGCTGTGCTAACTTCTGGATCAATTGCGTGGAGCCCAAACCTCCAGGCCTTCTGTTGCCCGACCTCCTTTAAGCAGACTGTTCTTGGCCAGCCTTTGGCCTTCACAAGGGAGCAATTCCCAGAGGGAGGGAGGAAACTAGGCTCTTGAGAAGCCAACGTGCAACGGTGCTGGTGCTTTCGGGCACTTCGAAAATATTCATCCTAAACTAGCTGTTCTCCTGTGAAGGGTAAATGCCACTGGTACATTTTTAATCTGCAAGAGCCTCACCTTGGCAAGGATTTGGCGATACACCCTGATATTTTTGAGGGGATTTTGCACTAAGGCACAAATGCCTTCTTGAGCAGAACTGGACTCATGCCGCCTTTCCAGATGTGGCCAAGTGCTGATGTGCTTTTTTGTCGAAGCGCGTGATAGTTTCCCCAAAGGAGTAACTTGGGTTTCAAACATTTCCAAGGCCCGAAAGAATGAGGCTTCGTTTGTTTTTAGCATGCACCTCCTTTTAAAATAACCCCCTGTGGCTTTTCCTTCATTTTCTCCCGAAAACACTTTCCACTTGGTAGGTTTCTTACAAAATTTATCATTGTTCAACCTAAAATGATCCCTTTTAAAGAAATCCCCCCAAATGGACATAAACACCTGTGCTGACACGCCTTTTCATCCCCATCTGTACCAGTCTCTCCCCACCCAATCAAGACACACACACACACACACACCCAAGTTAGATGAAGAAACCCAGTTATATTTGACTGAATGCAAATATGTCCTTCCAACCTTAAAACTCTTTTTCAGAACTATTGCTTTTTTGGGGCACAGGCAGGCCATAAAAAGGTCCTGACATTTTCAAACGAGTTTACATTGATTACCACGCAGTCTTTTCAGTTGGCCTCATGGTTTTACAGTAGAAAAAGCGCAAATGGGAAAAGCGAATAGTGGAAGCAGAGAACCTTCTACTTCAGGAGCGTGGAACCTTGTCAGCTTGAAGACTTCTGGACTTCAACTCCCAGAATTCCCCAGCTGGCTGGGGAATTCTGGGAGTTGAAGTTCAGAAGTCTTCAAGCTGACAAGGTTTCACACACCTCTGTTCCAGTGACATGTTTTCTTTTTAATGGCACTAACACTGTACAGGTTTGTTAGTGGCCAAAGAGAATTAGCAGAGAGCACTCATCCTGCAAACCTATTGTGATGGAAAATCTTTTGAAGAACCATCAGATCCTGGAGGCCTCTCTGCTCCACTTCTAAGCAGAAGTTGGTATTTTGATTGCCACTGAGACAGGACTGGTCAAAGGGGGGAAGGAGGGGGGTGCGGCTGTGCAAAACAACAACACACAGCCTCTTTTTCGCCTTCCCTCTTTTCAGCTTGTCAGCCACAGCAGTTTGAACAGAGCCTGTTTTTTTCAAACCGTCAGGCTTAATGATGGTAATTATAGCCCCTGGACCATGACTCACGCTCCCTGATTAGAAATGAGCTTTACAGGTTGAAAATGCTTTTGATCCCGAGATGTTTGGTCAGAGATAAACTCTGCCTCTTTCTTCTTCTCTGTTTGATGTGAAGTCATAGCTGGCAAACTAGACAGTGTTCTCCCTTGACCCAAAACATGCACCGGCCCAGCTCAGCGAGTTAATCTTGCTACCGCAGTTTGCCACTCTGATGATTTTTTTCCTATTCTCTGCTTGGTGGGAGTTTTCTCTGCAGGTGGGTCTGAAAGAGCCCTCCCGCCGTGTCCCAGGAGGGCTGCTTTTCTCCCAGCTTGAGAATAGAATTTGCAGAAACAGCCTCTTGTGTTGGTGCATGGCGGACAGACCTCTCAAGGTGCAGGAGACTTTTAGGAGAGACCCCTGGAATGGTTGACCAGGTGCAAGTCTAGGTATCCCCAGTGCAGTGCTTCAGAGCAAAGGCCTGGCAATCAAAGATATCTCCCCCCACCCCACCCCGCCCCCCCACACATACACATACACACTACCCCCACAGGTTATAAAAACAGGAAAAGTCAAACGAGCAAGTAGGAAGGCAGGAAGAGATTGCAGCATGTGATTTCATTCACCCCTGCAATACTGTTTTACTTTCCTTCTCTCTCCCTGCTTCTTTTGCTTCCTTCCTTCCTTCCTTTCTTTTTCTTTCTTCCTTTTTTCCTTCCTTCCCTCCCTTTCTTTTTCCTTCCCCTTTTTCTTCCTTTCCTTCCTTTCTTTTCTCTTCCTTTCCTTTTTTCTTGCCTTCCTTTCCTCTTTTCCTTCCTTTCCTTTTCTTCCTTCCTTCCTTCCTTCCTTCCTTCCTTCCTTCCTTCCTTCCTTCCTTCCTATACTCACCATAACCCGATCAAGAATCTCTTTCTTCAGTTCATTGATACGGATATTTACCAGGCTTGGTTAGAGATACAGGTTCTCTAAGCCTCTTGGGGTTTGCATTCAGGCTACAGGCTTCTCATCTGGCATCTGGGGTCCTCCTCCTGTGGTGGCCCTTACCACATTTCCCAAAGTAAAAAGGACGCCATCTTTTGTGTAATAAAACCCTTATTCTCCTTAAGGTCACATCATTGAGCATTGCTTCACTTTGATAAATCTCTGCAGAGTATGATCAACTTCTCGGTATATTAGACCAGTGTTTCTCAACCACAGCAGCTTGAAGATGGGTGGGCTTCAAGCAAGGCTGGCTGGGGGATTCTGGGAGCTGAAGTCCCCCCCATCTTTAAGCCGCCAAGATTGCAAGACAATGATATAGACCAGTAGTGGGTTTCACTTACTTTCGCTACCGGTTCAGAACCGCAAGCGCGCAGAGCATCCATGATGACTTCCAGGCGGGTGGGTGGAGCCTCCTGCCACTGATACCAGTTTGCTCAAACTGGGGCAAACCAGTAGAAACCCACCACTGATGTAGACCCAAAATACAAGCTTTCTGCAAAATCTCAAAGCAAATCTCTCCTGCCTCCCGTGGCCCAAAATGTCGACCCTCGGCTCCCTCCCCCTCAGTGATGGAACCACATCCCCGCCATCACCTGTAGCCACCCTTGGAGACTGAAAATAATAAAGCCCGCCCTAGCTGGAATTGATCATCCATCTTTCTAATCAAATTTAGTGACTCAGATCCTTGCTTGGCTCTGTAGGACAAGCAGTCCTCCGAAATTATTGCCACTGAGCCAACATCCCACCCCACCCCTTCAAGGCATTCACGACTTCATCCTGACAGTTTCGCTCAGGTGATAAAGATGGGCCTTCAGAACGCTGAGGGAAACGGTGAAGCCTCTTTTGAGTTTGGGAGTTGGCAGATCTAACCAGTTTATATTCCAGCCAGGGGAAAAAAAATAATAGCTCCGGGTTTACTGAAATGTACCAATTTGCAGCTAATGGGGGAAAGGAAGGGGTTGCAATAAATGCATTTATTTCCCCCAGAAGAGCATTTCTCTGTAACAGAGAAAAGGTGAAGCTGGTTTGAATCGTAGCTGCGATGATCAATAATAAGGCTGTTTTAATAAGGTCTTTGATTTCTAGCAAGGACTGAAAATTTCCTCAGTGTGTGTTTGTTTTTTTCAAACTTGGGCACTTTAAGATGGGTGGACTTCAACTCCCAGAATTCCCTAGCCAGCCATGGCTTGCTGGGGAATTCTGGGAATTGAAGTCCACCACCTTAAAATGCCCAAGACTGAAAAGCATTAACCCAATTTATGGCCTGTATGAACAAAAGAGATGGCAACAAGACCTGGAATGTTCCAATTGAATTAACAGACACATTTATTGAAACTGTGGTGGTCCCATACAGGTAACCGAGAGATAAAACTTGCCAACTCGCTTCCATGATTCGTAGCAAAACATCTCCCAAAGAAAAACAAGAATGGGAAAAAAAAAGAAAGGTGATGAATGTAATAGAAACAAAACACCTTCCTTTTTTGGGGGAGATTGCAAAAAAAAAAAAAAAACTCAATTTTTTTCTTCAAGCTGTTGCATTGGACCAGGCCTCGTCTATTAACGCAGCTTCCCTCATTCACTTGCTTTGCTAGCCAAGCCTCCCCCCCTCAATCCTTCCACCCCTGTGTCCTTGGAAACTGTATCCAAGGTTACGGTGTTTTTGCAGATTTCATTACTGCTCCCTTTTCTTTCTTTCTTTCTTTTTTTTGCCTTGCTTCAGATCCAGGTTTGCAGCTGGGAGAAGAGTGGCTTGGTTTCCTTTTGTTTTGTTTCTTAAACCCAGCATCTGTTGTTGTACTTTTACAAAATTATTTTGCTTAAACAGGCACCCCCCCCCTTTTGGGGTGAAGGAAGCAAAAGACCCCCAATTGAACTACGGTGAGTGCTTGTTTTTTTTCCACCCCCAGTTCTGTGTTTCCTGCCCTGTTTACAATCCGTGTTTAAACTCCCATCAATCCTTTCCAACGATCCGTTTCTCTGCACCGCTGTTCCCCCAATTTCCTCGACTTGATCCGAGAACCCCAACCCAATTCCTTCAATCTTTGTACTTTTGACAACACGAGTCAGGTGTGTTTTGTTGTATCCTAATTTTGGGGTGGGTGGGGAAACAAGCCAGTTTTACGCCTCAGATACATAACTGTGTTTAAGGATAAGCGTCATATTGGATCACTAGGCTTCCTTCGTCCAGACTTTGAAGGCTAGAAAAGGGGTACCGAATCCCCGATAGCCTGCAGTCCACACAAAAGAAGGACAGCTGCTTGAGAACTAACATATTTCCCATGCAGTTGTGCACCACCTTTGCTGATGTCGATGCCTTGTGGGCCTTCCAGACGAACCCCGGGCCTTTCTCTAGCAGATTTCCTTCCATTTCTGCTGTAGAAGTGAGAGAAGGCAGCCTAAATACTGACCCTACTAGAAAAACATCTGAGCTTTTCTGCATTGAAATCCATGCCATTCGGAGCAAGGGCAAGCTATATTAATTCACTGATTCCTTGTTCATCTTAAAGTTGGCTTACATTGGGTCGATCTCCCCTGTTTTCTCACATGTTTCGGGATTTCCAACCCATTGGGTAAAATACTGAGCCAGAAGAAAGAAAGAAAATGCTTCCTTAGCCAGCCTTGTAGCAAATACAGAATGCTCCCCCCAAAAAGAGAGAGATAAGAAACATCAAACTCCCTGTATATCCAGTTCTATCCACTGCGTGCAAATAGCATCACAGTGGAATTCATGGATGCCTCTTCCCTAAAGCAAATTGAAATAAAGCTGCTATTCATGTTTGATCTGTAGAGATCAGAGTTCCCTGCTCTTGTTATTCGGTTTTCTTTTTGGTGACACTTTTTAATTTTTTTTTAAAAAACTTGCTTGAAAAAAACGGCTGCATCTCAAACTCTTTTTAACGCGTCTGTTTCTTCGGTGGCCGTCTCGGATGGCCTCCAAAATGGTGTTTTGTGGTTGGCATGCTTGTGATGTGACGTCTCGCTTGACTTTGCTATGCGGTGGTGTTGATAACTTTTAAAAACCCGAGAATGATTGTTTTATTTATAACTATTTATATAAACCTACACAGACACATATAAATAAAATAGACACACACCCAGAGGGACATACACTTCCCTTCACAATCTATATGCTGTATTGATTCCTGTTAAATTTTCTGACCCTTAATAAAGTGCCGTTTCCTCTCTCGCTCGTTCTCTGTGTCTTCTCCTTCGTCTCCTTCACGGTTGGTGAGCTGCTGGTAGAGAAGTCGATGGTGGCACTTAGCCAAACATAACCTCCTTGGATGGGTGACAATCTGCATCTTGAATACCAGGTGTTGGAATCAAAGAACAAAAAGGCGTGTTCTTTTTTAACTCTCAAAAGCAGATGTCCCTCCATTGGGTCTCCAATTTGTGGTCCGCAACCAGAGGTGGTATTCAGCCAGTTCGAACTGATTCGCCCGAACCGGTAGCATAAATCACTTACCCCGGCTCTATTCGTGTTTCCCCGAAAATAAGACCCAGTCTTATTTTCTTTTAGGCTCTGAAATAAGTACTAGGGCTTATTTTCAGGGGAAGTCTTATTTTTTTCCCATGTACGGGAGGCCCAGTTCTGTTTTCTCATGGCAGGGCAGGCTACACTGCCACCATGAGGCAGGGGGAGGAGGAGCTGCCCCACCCTGCACTGACCTCTGTGCCCCCGCAGCCAGGCCATTCATACCCTCACACCTGCCTCATCTCATGGTGGCAGCTCCAGCGGTCCTGTCCAACGGCCCACTTCTTCTGCTTGCTTGCAGCCGCAACGGAGCAGGAGGCTGAGTGATGCGTCGGTGCCGCAGCCACAAAGAATTGTCAGGGCATGCATGGCCTGGCTGTGGGGGTCCTGAGGTAAGCCGGTGCAGGGCGTGTGAGGCAGCTCCACCTCCCCTCACCTCTCCTGATGTCAGTGCCACCGCAAGCAACCAGACAGAATGGGCAGCCGGCTGGCTGTGCAGGTGCTTAAGTAGGGCTTATTTTGGGGTTAGAGCTTATATTAGGCACATGTGTAAAAACATGCTAGGGCTTATTTTCAAGATAGGTCTTAATTTTGGGGGGAAACAGGGTAGTATGAAGTGATAAACTGCTAAATATCTAGTTTTTTTTTTTTTAATTTGATTTATATGCCACCCTTCTCTGGAGACTCAGGGCGGCTTACAATGTGCTAAGCAATAGCCTTCATCCTTTTGTATATTTATACAAAGTCATCTTATTGCCCCCACAACTGGGTCCTCAATTTACCTACCTTAGAAAGGATGGAAGGCTGAGTCAACCTTGAGCCTTGGTGAGATTCGAACCTGCAGTAATTGCAGGAATCTGGTCTTAATAACCAGCTTAATAACAGGGTGCCTTAGACCACTGTACTACCAAGGCTCTTAGTTGCTTATTTATCCTTCCCTGGAAGTTATAAGCAGTCTGTAAGCCGGTATTTCTCATGCTGGCTGGGGAATTCTGGGAGTTGAAGTCCACACCTCTTCAAGCTGCCAATTTTGAGAAACACTGCTCTAAGCAAAAATAAATGCTGTTTTGAACCTTTCATCAACTCTCACTCAGTTCAGCCTGCAAGCTTTGATACGCGATATTAAGAGATAAAAACAGATTGGCAGGCTATAATACAGACTCCGAAGAGCTTCACACTGGCACTGCCCAAGTGTTGACAGCAGCAGGCAGGAATAGAGAGGAACAAGCATCTGCAAGGCAACACAATCATTTGGGCTTACAATGCCCTTCCTCAGTAGGTGGCTTCACTCAACTAGTATTACCAAGAACACGGCAAATCTAGCATGTCACTCAACATGCTTAACTGGGTTAGCGTTCATCTTGGGTAGTTGTTCTGTCACTTAGTTGTGTGAATGCAGCTTGCTTGGTCTGTTTATTGTTCGATCTCTTGCACAAAACATTCAGTTCCCAGTTTAGGTGTTTTGAAAGAACCGGACAATCTCTGCTCTTATGGTGCACAACGTTAATCCTCTCTGGTGTTGTGTTCCATCATTTTTTAACCTCTGTTTTTTTAACTAAGTATATATTAGAACATAGAACATAAATCTATAGGGCTGGAAGAGGTCTTCTAATCCATCCCCCTGCTTAAGGCAGGAGACCTTATACCAGGGCTCGGCAACCTTAAACACTCAAAGAGACACAAAGATCCTAACCGGAAGCCCCCCATTCAATTCTGGAGCCGACTGCAAGTCTGGTTCCCTCACCATAGAGTCTCCTCCTAGTGCGGCGTCCTTTTTTATTTATTTATTTATTTATTTTTAAATTTCTATACCGCCCTTCTCCCTGAGGACTCAGGGCGGTGTACAGCCAAAATTAAAAAACATGCAGTACAAATATTAAAAACAATTAAAAGATATATAAATTTGGCCCAATTAAAACTCACTATCAATTAAAACATTTAAAAATTTCTTCTTAAGCCAGCCCGGCTTGCTTAAAAAAATGGGTTTTAAGGGCACGACGGAAGGCATTGAGGTCTTGGATTCTCCTTATCTCTGGGGGCAGCTGGTTCCAGAGGTTAGGTGCCCCCACAGAGAAGGCCCTCCCCCTGGGGGTCACCAGCCTGCACTGTTTGGCTGATGGCACCCCGAGGAGGCCCTCTCTGTGGGAGCACACGGGTCGATGGGAGGTTGTCGGTAGCAGCAGGTGGTCTCGAAGATAACTAGGCCCTATGCCATGGAGCGCTTTAAAGGTGATAACCAACACCTTGAAGCGCACCCGGAAGACCACCGGAAGCCAGTGCAGCTCGCGCTGTACTGTACCTGTCCTAACTGAAAGCCCTATCCATTGTGGAGCTGACTGGAAAACCCGCCCCTTGCCATAGAGTGTCTTCCTGGTGCGCTGTGCTTTTCTTGTGCTTTTGAGCTCCTCTCAAACTTGTGGTGCCGACCAGTGACAGGGAGCCGCAGCAGAAGGATGAAAGAGCCACACGAGGCTCCAGAGCCACAGGTTGCTGATCCCTGCCTTATACATCAGTCAAATGGTTGTCCAGTCTGTTTTTGAAACCCTCCAGTGATGGAGGAGCATCCACGACTCTGGGAGGTAAGCTATACCACTGATTAATTGCTCTCACTGTCAGGAAATTTCTCCTTACTTCTAAGTTGGATCTCTGTTTAACAAGCTCCCACCTTTTACTTCTTGTCCTACCCTCAGGTGCTATGAAGAATAAGTTCCCTTCTCTGAAACGGCCTCTCAAGTACTGAAACAGTTATGTCCCCCCAATCTTTCATAGGCTAGGGCAGTGATGGGGAACCTTTTCGGCACTGAGTGCCCAAATCACAATGCCATTCACGTGTGTGCATGTGCACGCACCAGAGAGCCAGCTGGTCTTCGGGTTTCCAGCACACTCATCGGTCAGGTGGGCTTCACGTGCGCCAGAGCATTGGAAACCCGAAGATCAGCTGGGCAGCCCGTGCATACCTGGGTTTTTTGCTGTTTTGGGGGCCATTTTTCAGGCTGTTTTTCGAGTGAAAAATGGTCCGAAAAACGGCCTAAAAACAGCTTGTTTTTTGGCCGTTTTTTGGGCCATTTTCAGGCCGTTTTCCGGCGCTCTGGTGCCTGTGAAGACCAGTTAGCTGGCGAATTGGAAACCAGAAGAGCAGCTGCCGACGGTGCGCGTGCCCACAGAGAGGGCTCTGCGTGCTACCTCTGGCACCCATGCCATAGGTTCACCATCACAGGGCTAGAGACATACCTACCGTAGAGTATAAGATGCACCGGAGTATAAGACATACCTACCTTTTTTGGTGAGGAAAAGAAGAAAAAGAAATCTCCCTCTCCCTCTGAGCAATTTTGCCTCGTTGCAGCAAACAGCAAAGAGCCTGCTTTACTTTCATTTTCGTTTTCAGCATAGCTTGATTAGCACAAGGGGAAAAAAAATCTGCTCCAGCAATTTACCTCTTTGCAGCAAGCAGCAGAACAGCTGAGAGCAAATCAGCTGAGAGTTGGGAGGCCGATCCAATCAACTTGTGCTAATTAGGCTGTGCTGAAGCTGAAAGCAGCTGTTTTTTCTTGCTGTTTGCTTGCAAGGAGGGAACTGCTGCAAGGCAGAGGCCAAAGGGTGGGGGCCAGTAGGTGGTTGGGGCTACATTTGGTGTGTAAGACGCACCTAAAGTTTCACCCCCTTTTAAGGGGGAAAAAGGTGCGTCTTATACTCTGAAAAATACGGTAGTTCCATCAACTGCTCACTTAAGCCAAATTCTGTGATCAGCCACAGATGTTCCCTGAGAGTTTCTAAGTGAGTCCCTCCCTTCAGTTCTAGAGCCAGTCTAGAAGCAAAAAGACCCATCTTCTAATTCCTCTTGGCCTGGACTTGCCCTCTGCCTCATCCAACTTCCCTGAGGTAAGAGCACTGTCTATATTTCCTTGAATCCCTGGATAAAAGCTGGAATGTAAGTGAAATGAAGTTGGAAATCAAAGTCTTCTATTGATGGTATCATAAGAACCTTCTTGACGAATAAGACTGCTGGACATGTTATTCTATTATAATGTTCCTGCTAGTCCAGAAGGGAAGGTTTGCAAGCATGGATAACATCACGTCAAACATGTTCTTTGTTCCTTCTTTGGAACACATTGATAGAAGAATTTCAGAGTTCTCCTTGATTAGCCAATAACTACCGTAGAGTGGTAATCAAATTGATAGGAGAGGCGTAAATCCAATTTATGATAACATGAGAGCAGTCTTCCAATATCTCAGGGGCTGCCACAAAGAAGAGGGGGTCAACCTATTCCCCAAAGCCAGAGATGGGTTTCAGCAGGTTCTGACCAGTTCTGGAGAACGGGTATGAGAAATTTTGAGTAGTTCGGAGAACTGGTAGTAAAAATTCTGACTGGCCCCCATCTATTCTCTGCCTCTTAAGTCCCAGCTGATCGGGAGGGAATGGAGATTTTACAGTATCTTTCCCCTGGATTGGGGAGGGAAAGGAGATTTTACAGTATCTTTCCCCTGGATTGTGGCGGGAATGGAGATTTTATAGTATCTTTCCCCTGGATTGGGATGGGAATGGAGATTTTATAGTATCTTTCCCCTGGATTGGGGAGGGAATGGAGATTTTACAGTATCTTTCCCCTGGATTGGGGAGGGAATGGAGATTTTACAGTATCCTTCCCCTGGATTGGGGCGGGAATGGAGATTTTACAGTATCCTTCCCCTGCCACGCCCACCAAGTCACACCCACCAAGCCCATGCCATGCCCACCAAGCCACGCCCACATAACCGGTAGTAAAAAATGTTGAAACCCACCACTGTCCAAAGCACTTGAAGGCAGAACAAGAAGCAATGGGTGGAAACTAATCAAGGAGAAAAGCAACCTAGAACTAAGGAGAAATTTCCTGACAGAATGATTAACCAGGGGAACTACTTGCCTCCAGAAGTTGTGGGTGCTCCATCACTGGAAGCTTTTTAAGAAGAGATTGGACAACCATTTATCCGGCATGGTATAGGATATCCTGCTTGAGCAGGGAGTTGAACTAGAAGAGCCTTGGTGGCGCAGCAGACTAATGTGCTATTAACTAGCACCAGCTGCCTGCAATTACTGCAAGTTCAAATCTCACCAGGCTCAAGGTTGACTCAGCCTTCCATCCTTCCGAGGTAGGTAAAATGAGGACCCGGATTGTGGGTGCAATAAGCTGACTTTGTATAAAAAAGAACACCGCTTGGGGGGGGGTGCGAAAGCCCTACTAAGCAGGTATATACAAAAGTATGAAGGCTATTGCTTAATGCATTGTAAGCCGCCCTGAGTCTCCGGAGAAGGGCAGCATATAAATCGAACCAATAAATAAATAAATAAATAAGATCTCCAAGGTCCCTTCTAACTCTGTTATTTTGTTAATTAATTATAATACAAGAGAAATGATGGTGATGATGACAATGGGAATAATGGTAATGAGTCCTACCATACCAAAAGTACAAAGTGCCACCAGCCTGGATCAAAACTGGTCTGTTTTTACCTCTTAAGATACTCTTGACTGGATGCCACAGGCCGTCACCAGCCATGCCCCACGACTCTCCTCTGTCATATTCCATTCCCCCTTTTTTTGTCCTTTATTGCTCAATATGGCTAAACATACCAGTGACATGGAAAAGTTCACCTTTGACCTGCTCTGTTCTATTTTGGGCACCAGGAAATGGCCTCTTTTAATTAAAAAAAATAATAATTGGCCAGGCCTTTCTCTTCATTGGAAAAGATCATTTTAATTCTTCTCCCCTTTCTACTGAATGAACGCCATCGTTTCCTTCTCTCAGATTTTACTGCGGTGCTTGGTTGAATTATTTTACTTGTTTCATTAATTACAGGTAGTTCTTGACTTACAATGGTTTGTTTAGTGACTGTTTGAAGTTACAGCAGCACTGGAAAAATTGACTTATGGTTGTTTTTCACTCTTATGACTGTTACAGCATCCTTATGGTCATGTGATCAAAATTCACATCAGTGGTGGGTTTCAAAAAATTTACTACCAGTTCTGTGGGTGTGCTTTGGTGGGCGTGGCATGGCGGGCATGGCAGGGGAAGGATACTGTAAAATCTCCATTCCCACCCCTCTCCAGGGGAAGGTTATTGCAAAATCCCCATTTCCTCCTGATCAGCTGGGACTTGGGAGGCAGAGAATAGATGGGGGTGGGGCCAGTCAGAATTTTTACTAGCGGTTCCCTGAACTACTCAAAATGTCTGCTACCGGTTCTCCAGAACTGGTCAGAACCTGCTGAAACCCACCTCTGGTCCTGGGGTCATTTGATCCCTTTTTGTAGCCTTCTGACAAGGAAAATCAGTGGGAAGCCAGATTCATGTAAGAACTGTGTTACTAATTTAAAAGCTGCAGTGATTCGCTTGTGTCAAAAAGATAATAAAATGGGGTAAAACTCACTTAACAACTGTCTTGATTAGCAACAGAAATTTTAGGGTCAATTTTGGTCATAAATTGAAGGCTCTCTGTATATCTTGGGAGTCTGCACCTGAGCAGTTCACAAATGTTTTAGATAAAATAAGTCAATGGATTTTAAAAAAAAAATCCCTAATGTAAATGCAAATGCAGGAAATGGCTAAGAAAGAAAAAGAAAATACGATGCAATCTTTGCATTGTCTAAATTATTTTATTTGTGGCAGATTGTCCAGCTGACAGTTTCCCCCACCCTGATTTCACCCCCAAACTGAAATTCAAAAGCTGAGCTATACATTAACAGAAAGGAATGGAAAACCTTTCCGATTAAATACTTATATTTAATAATTTCCTCTCTATTCGGAGATGGACCATTACTTTTGTTGTTGTTGTTGTTTAATTCCACATGGTACAGAGTTATGGTCCCTCCTTCCGAGATGGTTTGCCAAGAAAGCATTTATTACAAGTGAGAAAAATAATAATAATAATAATAATTAATCCTCAATGATCCCAATATAGCTACCCAGGTGCGTTGTTCCTTCCCCGTTTTAAGTGATTCGACGTCGTGAATTCGTCTTTTCCTTGAAATGAACTTGCAGAGTCCACTTTACAGATGCGAAAAGCAATTTTCCTTACAAAAGTGATTCCGCAGGATGTAGATTTAAGGCCCCCTTGATTAAGAGGTTGCTGGTTTAGTGCTTTGAAGATGCTTCTGAGGTTCAGCCGACCCAAAAGAAGCTGGAGCCAAGAGGTGGGATGCTTTCCAAACAGGGGTGGAAGCAGGTCCTCTCCGATCTGGCCAGTTTAGGGTGTCTCACCACCACCTGCTCCGGCTTCCTCACTTCAGATCCCCCAGTAAGGCATAAAGACCCTCCCTCCCCTAACGTAAACATCTGGCATCGTCCCATAAGCAGTTTGCACCATTTTCACGCTGTTTCGGCCGTACAGCTCCCATTCGTAGTCTATCAGCTGCTTCCAGAAACCCACATTCGGACGTATGACCGGGCGCCTCGATTTGACCCAGTTATAGGCCTCGTACAGGGTGACATTTTGATACTTCATCAGGTAGGCGATGCACAGCGTGGCCGATCGGCTCACCCCGGCCGCACAGTGGACCAAAGTGACGCCGTTCTTCCGAGCCACGCTCTGGATCTTGTCTGCCACGCTGTCGAAGTAAAGAGAAATCGGAGCGCTGGGTATATCGGCCACGGGCACCCGGACGTACTCAAAGTCGGGGAAGTTGGGGTTCGGGAGTTCGACGGTGGCGTTGATGACGCAAGTGATCCCGCGGCATAAGAGCAGTTGGCGGTTGGAGGCGACGCTGCCTTTGCTGAGGTACAGGAAGGGGGTTATTTGGGCAATGCCAGCCATCGTCCCTTCGGAGTAAAAGCGAGGTGTGAAGAGAGTTCGTGGGAGCGAGTAGTGTCTTCGTGCCGTCATAGAAAGGATTCCCCGGCCGGCTCAGATTTTCATGCTAGAGGATGTGCCCCCGTCGTGTTTTCTTTCACCTACCAAATGCAGAGGGAGATCGACTTTAGAACAGGTCTGCACACAGGAAAACAGCAGTAGTCTGTTTATATTATTATTATTATTATTATTATTATTATTATTATTATTATTATTATTATCTTTATTCATTTAATATGAATATGTCATATGTCATGAATATGTCAACTGAACATTCAAAAATGCATCACAAATACCATCGACTGGTGCTAATTATTATTATTATTATTATTTCTTTTATTCATTAAACATGAAACTCAATCGACTGAATATTAAAAAATGCATCACAAATACCATTGACTGGTGCTAATGGTTGATACGAGTTGCTCCCAGTGTCCTAGGTATCAACCAAGTATCTTCTTAAAGGAAAACACACAGGAAAACAGTAGTCTGTTTATTTTATTACTACTACTACTACTACTATTGTTGTTGTTGTTGTTGTTGTTATTATTATTATCTTCATCATCTTCATCTTCATCATTTATTAAATTAATGCTGATTTTATTAAGTCAAGGACTAACTGTTCTAGTTTCTTCACTCCTTTCCAGAGATGAGAATCTGAATTATTTCTCCCAGCCTCATTTAAGCCGACCCATAAAAAAAAAACAAAAAAGCATTCTTTAGTTCTTGCAGCTTTTTTTGGGTGATCCCTCCACTATTTTCATCATTTCTGGACTTTCTTCTACCCTCACGCTTCACCCAAGACTGCTGCTAATGTCTCATTTTCCAATGATTACATTTAAAAGCCAGTTTTCTCGCCCAGAATTCAGTAAGAGAGAGAGATCAAAATAAGGCAGTGGTGTCAAACTTCATTTCATTGAGGGCCGCATCAGGGTTGTGTTTGACCTCTGGGGTCTGGGGTGGGCGTGGCTAGAATAGAATAGAATAGAATAGAATAGAATAGAATAGAACAGAACAGAACAGAATAGAATAGAATAGAATAGAATAGAGTAACAGAGTTGGAAGGGACCTTGGAGGTCTTCTAGTCCAACCCCCTGCTTAGGCAGGAAACCCTACACCACTTCAGACAAATGGTTATCCAACCTCTTCTTAAAAACTTCCAGTGTTAGAGCATCCACAACTTCTGGAAGCAAGTTGTTCCACTGATTAATTGTTCTGTCAGGAAATTTCTTCTTAATTCTAAGTTACTTCTCTCCTTGATTAGTTTCCACCCATTGCTTTTGTCCTACCCTCAGGGGCTTTGGAGAATTGATAGGCATGTCCCAGTGGTGAAATCCAGCAGGTTCTGACAGGTTCTGGAGAACCGGTAGTGGACATTTTGAGCAGTTCAGAGAATCGGCAAATACCACCTCTGGCTGGCCTCAGAGTGGGGTGGGAATGGAGATTTTGCAATATCCTTCCCCCAGGAGTGGGGAGGGAATGGGGATTTTGCAGTATCCTTCCCCTGCCACGCCCACCAAGCCATGCCCACCAAGCCACGCCCACAGAACCGGTAGTAAAAAAAATTGAATTTCACCACTGGCATGGCCATCACTTGTGTCGGGGGGTGCCTGTGGAGGCCCGAGCGCTCTGCCAGCAAAAACAGGCTCCCGAGCTCCGTTTTCGGCTGCCACAGCTTCCTGCAACCCTCTGCCAGCGAAAACAGAGCTCGGGAGGGCCGTGAGCTCTGTTTTCGCTGGCAGAAGCACCGTCGGCCAGTCCTTCACTGTTTCCAGGGTGGCCTTGTGGGCCAGATCCAGGCCTTGAGTTTGACACCCTTGAAAAATAAGGAAATATCTATTTTGGAATAAACAAAGATAGAGCGGGCTCAGATTTGGGCTAATAATGTGATGTCCTCTTCCCCGGCTCCCCACTGTTCTCGTTCATTGTCTTAATGTACAGACCTTTCAGCTTTTCTCAAAGAAAAACAAGATGCTATTTTTATCCAGAACACATTATCAGCCACGGCTACCTGCCTGCTGTGAATTGCCACCAGACTGACCCGCCTGTCTCTGCTCAATTCGTTTAATTTGTTCTCTCCGAACACGTCTGTTCTTTCAACTTAACGGGGACACCAGGGAAAAGATGAATTGTAAGGCAGGGGTGTCCAACCTTTCGCAACTTTAAGACTTCTGGACTTCAACTCCCCGAATTCCCCAGCCAAGCATGGTTGAATTGTGGGTCTTGAAATCCACAGGTCTTAAAGTTGCCCCAGATTGGACACCTTTGGTGTAAGCCAAAGGGTCGACACTACCGAAAATATCTTAATATCTTTCAGTATCTATTTGAGGGAAATTGGGCAAAGCTGTTTATCCAGAGTGATTATCCTATTAACAAAGCCTTCCCTGAAAAGCAAAAGGGTTACAGAATTTCAAGGAGGTTTGAAGTGTTTTCTTTCAGGTATTTTTGGCTGTGATGCTCTTTAGCTCATCTGCCAAAGAAACACCTAAGCCAGGTGATTTTGATACCGCAACATTGCACCTGTTTTATTTCTGTCTTCCATTATTCTATTCTATTCTATTCTATTCTATTCTATTCTATTCTATTCTATTCCATTCCATTCCATTCCATTCCATTCCATTCCATTAGAGCCTTGGTAGTACAGTGGTCTAAAGCACCCTGTTATTAAGACCAGCTGCCTGCAATTACTGCAGGTTCGAATCTCGCCAGGCTCAAGGTTGACTCAGCCTTCCATCCTTTCTAAGGTAGGTAAATTGAGGACCCAGTTGTGGGGGCAATAAGCTGACTTTGTATAAATATACAAAAGGATGAAGGCTATTGCTTAGCACATTGTAAGCTGCCCTGAGTCTCCAGAGAAGGGCGGCATATAAATCAATTAAAAAAAAAAAATCCATTCCATTCCCTTCGGATTCCAATTCCGATTCCGATTCCAATTCCGATTCCTACTCTACTCTACTCTACTCTACTCTACTCTACTCTTCCATTCCATTCCATTCATTATCCGCTCAAACGTTTGATCTGAGCCAGGGACAAAAAGTTGCTTCAAATTTTTGTTAACCCTCCAAATCTTGATAGTTAATTAAATCAACTTGATATGGATAATCATTCAAACCATGATTGGGAGGATCCAGACTAAACCATGATTTTATGAATGGCCCTTTCTCCTCTGTAGCTTTAATTTTATTTCCAGTTTTTGCTTTGCACAGTCTACATAACCAGCTGGCTCAGAAGAATCTGAAATAAACCTTCATTTCCAAAGCTAGGAGACCTCGGGGGGGCTTCATGTGGTTCAAAAGGCCCAGATGGCAGCTTTACTTATGCTTCTGTGGCCCCCATCTTGACTTTTTTTCACCATTTCCCCAGACACCTGAGGGAAACCCCTTTGCTTATACTTCTAAATCGGTGTTTGGCTGCTTTTAAGTCAGGTGGACTTCAACCCCCAGAATTCCTCATGCTGGCTGAGGAATTCTGCAAGTCCACACATTTGAAAATTACCAAAATTGAGAAACAGATTAATAAAGTTAGAAGGGACCTTATAGGTCATCTAGTCCAACAGCCCGCTCAAGCAGGAGACTCTACACCATTTCTGATAGATGGCAGTCCAATCTCTTCTCGAAAGCTTCCACTGATGAAGTTCCCACAACTTCCGAAGGCAACTTCTGTTCCATGGGTTGATTGTTCTCACTCTCAGAAAATTTCTCCTTATTTCCAGGTTGAATCTCTCCTTGTTCAGTTTCCATCCATCATTCCTTGTCTGGTCTTCGGGTGCCTTGGAAAACAGCTTGATCCCCTCCTCTCTGTGGTAGCCCCTCAAATATTGGAAGACTGCTATCATGTCTCCCCTGGTCCTTCTCTTCACTAGACTAGCCATGCCCAGTTCCTGCAACCGTTCACCGTATGTTTTAACCTCCAGAGTCCAGTCCCCTAATCAGAGGTAAGTTTCAGCAGGTTCTGACCAGTTCTGGAGAACCAGTAATGAAAATTTTGAGTATTTTGGAGAACTGGTAGTAAAAATTCTGACTGGCCCCGGCCTCATCTATTCTCTGCCTCCCAAGTCCCAGCTGATTGGGAGGAAATGGGGATTTTGCAGTAACCTTTCCCTGGATTGGGGAGGGAATGGAGATTTTACAGTATCCTTCCCCTGCCACGCCCACCAAGCCACACCCACAGAACCAGTAGTAAAAAAAATTGAAACCCACCACTGCCCTTAATCATCCTGGTTGCTCTCCTCTGCACTTTTTCTAGAGTCTCAACATCTTTTTTATAGTGTGTTGCAGTACTGGATGCAGTACTCTAGGTGTGGTCTAACTAGGGCTTTATAGAGTGGTATTAGTTAAGAGTGTTATAGATCTTTATAGAGTGGTATTAGAAACACTGCTCTAGAATTATAACTGATCTGTTTAAGCCTGTTGTGTGAAGAGAACCCAAATGTGAAGGGTTTAGTGTTCATTCAGGATTGCATGCCACACATGGAGGCCACCAGCAGTGCTTGCAGGGAGGTAAAATGGTGAAAGCAACTTCACACAGCCACATCACCAGCCTCCCCTTCTCCTAGGTGCAAACCAGAAAATGTAGGTAGTGCTCGACTTAAGAGCAACAATGGAGCCCAAATTTTTTGTTGCTAAATGAGACAGTTGTTAAGGGACTTTTGCTCCATTTTATGATCTATCTTGCCACGGTTGTTAAGTGAATCCCTGCGGTTGTTTATATCGATATTGTTTCCTGATTGCTTATTTGTACCCTATGACTATCATTAAGTGTTGTACCTTACAATTCTTGATGAACGTATCTTTTCTTTTATGCACACTGAGAGTGTATGCACCAAGACAAATTCCTTGTGTGTCCAATCACACTTGGCCAATAAAAAATTCTATTCTATTCTATTCTATTCTATTCTATTCTATTCTATTCTATTCTATTCTATTCTATTCTATTCTATTCCATTCCATTCCATTCCATTCCATTCCATTCCATTCCATTCCATTCTATTCTATTCTATTCTATTAAGTTAGTACATTAAGTTTTGGTCACCCCATTACAAAAAAGATGTTGAGACTTTGGCCAAAAATGCAGAGAAGAGCAACTAAGATGATTAAAGGCC